CCGCAGGCCACTCACAGGTGGGAACAACTGCCGCTCCAGAGGAAGCTGCGGTGGCGGCTGCGGCCGCTGCTGCTGCGGCTGCGGCTGCTGCTGCTGCGGCTGCGGCTGCGGCTGCGGCTGCGGCTGCCGCTGCCGCTGCTGCTGCTGCTGCTGCTGCTGCTGCTGCTGCTGCCGCTGCTGCTGCTGCTGCTGCCGCTGCTGCTCCAGAAGGTCCAGCACCCGCAGCTCCTGCCGCTCCCTCTCCAACCGCTCCTGCTCCTCACGCTCACGCCGACGGGCAGCCTGGAGACGCGTGTCGTGGCGGTGGGGAGGCGGAGTGGACTCCGCAGAACCAGGGTCTCCAGCGTCAGTCTCCTCAGACTCAGCACCCCCAGAACCAGCACCGCCAGTGCCAGGACCTCCAACTCCAGCACCCCCAGAACTAGCACCGCCAGTGCCAGCACCCCCAACTCCAGCACCCCCAGAACCAGCACCTACAGTGCCGGCACCTCCTGCTCCAGCACCCCAAGAGCTAGCGCCACCTGCGCCAGCACCTCGAGCTCCAGCACCCCCAGAGCTAGCGTCACCTGCGCCAGCACCTCCAGCTCCAGTACCCCGCGACCGAGCACCCCCAGACCGAGCACCGCCAGCGGCTGCACCTCCAGCTCCAACACCAACCGAGTCCACAGTAACCTGTCGCGGAAGTGCCGAAGGCTGCTGAGGGGACTGTGAGGAGGACTGCGGGGAGAGAGACACTACCTGACGCGCGACCGAGGGTAGAGGGGTAGCGTGGGACACACCAGACGGGGCAAGACCAGGGGGGGGCGGGGGTACCGGAGGAGCGGGAGCAGGAGGAGGAGAGGGTGCGAGGAAGAGAGGGGGAGGGGGTACCGGGAGACCTCGACAGGGGTACCGGGTGTAGTAGGACACGGACTCGTCAAACCGGACGTCACGGGAGTCTAGGAACTGGTGGAGGGGAGGGTGGTAAAAGGACCAGTCAGCAGAGTCCACTGGGAAACCAAGAAAGACACAGGGGACGGCGCGTGCCGAGAGCTTGTCCGCGGAGGTGTCGCGAACAAGTGCAAGGCAGCCCCAGACTCAAAAGGCCGACCCAACACCAGGGGATCCAGTCCAAAGACTGGTCGGTGAAGCCTCGGGCCGCGAGACACGCGGCTGGAGGTTCAGCTGGTGTGCGGCGTAGCGAACCGCGTGGGGCCACAGAAAATGGGGCGCACGGGCATGAATCATGGACGTGCGGGCGATGTCCATGACCAAGCCTATGCGGCGCTCAGCAACCCCATTCTGCTGTGGGGACTCTGGCAGCGTCCAGGACTGGGTGATGCCCTGTTCGCCGCAGAATCCGCCGAGAATGCCGGAGCGAAACTCGCCCCCACGGTCGGAGTGAAGACAACTGACTCGACGACCACGAGTGCCCTCAGTGGCTAGAAGCCACCTGATCAGCGTAGCAGTCACCTCGGACTTCTTCGCAAGAGGGAACACTGTGGTGTACCTGGAGAAGTCGTCGACGACCACCAGAAAGTAACGCTCCCTCCCAGACCCCTGCGTCGGGGCAGGGCCCCAGACGTCCAAGTGGAGAGTCTCGAAGGGAGCGGTGGCCGGGCGAAGGGAGGAGGAGTGGGGAGTGGCGCGTAAGCGACCGGCGACGCAAGGAGTGCAAGGGGGAGCAGGGGAGGTGGGGAGCGACGGAAAGGTGCGTGGGAGACCGGTGACCAGCCCGTGAGTGGTCATCCCGCGGAGGCGGGGGATCGACGGGTGGCCAAGGCGGTGGTGCCACAAGACGGTCCGGTGGGTGAGGGACCGACAGGAGAAGGACGCAGCGACTGGACTAGACAGCGTGACCTGACTAGACACTGCAACTGGATCGGACTCTGCTACCGGGGGGGACGAAGCAACCTGACCAGACGCAGCTACCTGCGGGGTGGGAGTGTGCAGAACGAAGAGACCTGAGTGGGGCTCTCTGGTGAACGTGGCAAGAACTGCCCCGGTGGAAGAGTCCGTACAGATCGCAGTCCTCCCGTGCGCAGGAAAAGTGACTGTGATCCCCCGGTCCTGAAGGTATCCAACACCCACCAAGTTCCGAGAGAACGAGGGGATGTAGAGACCAGTGAGGAAACCGGAGGGGACAGCTGGGCACGGGAGAGTGGTCGAGCTGCGAGCAACTGCTGGTCCTGAAGTAGGATCAGCCAGGGCAACTGGGACTGGAGCCGAAAGAGGTGTAACAGTGGTGTGGTCGCGAAAGAAGCACTGGGACGCGCCGGAGTCCAGTGTGAAGGAGAGCGACGCAACAGCAGTCGTCACGGCTGGGCTAGTGACTACACAAGCACCTACACTAAAAGCACAAGTACCTACACTAGCAACAGGCAAAGGTCCTAAGCTAGGTACACGCAAGCCAAGAGATCCGTACGTGACAGAATAAACAGCATCCATAGACATATCAAACACAGGGTAACCACTACGAAACAAACCGGGCCAGATCGGGGGAGTCGACTCAGGCCCAAAACGCTCACGGTATAGGTCGTCGAGGCGACTGTAGCAGCGCGGTGTAGAGTGGTCAGGACGCCAGCAGGTAGTGCCAGCACCAGGGCCGGTCAGGATCCGGTACTGGCAGGGGCCGACGTCGCGGCCACTGCGACGAGCCCCCAAGCTGGCTGGGCAGCTGCTGCAGCCAACGCTACCCGAACCGCCAGGCCGCCACGGCTGCTGAGGGCGCCACAACTGCTGAGGGCAGAGCTGCTGCTGAGGGCGCCACTGCTGCTGCGGGTGCCACTGCTGAAACTGCCGCTGCTGCTGTCCCTGCTGCTGGAAGACCCTAGTGGACGCCATGATAAAGGCTAGGAGCGGCAGGAGCTAGGGACGGCCGCAGTGAAAACGAGAACAACTAGGAGCGCCAGGTAAAACTAGGCGAGGAACGGCTGGAGCACGGAGCACACGGAGCTAGGAGCGCCAGGTGAAACTAGGCGAGGAACGACCGGTGCTAGAACGGCTGGAGCTGAAACGGCTGGAGCTAGAACGGCTGGAGCGAGAACGGCTGGAGCGAGAACGGCTGGAGCTAGGCACGGCTGGAGCTAGGAGGGGCTGGAGCTAGAACGGCTGGAGCGAGAACGGCTGGAGCTAGAGACTGTAAGTGCGGCTGTCGGCTGCCGCTAGTGGAGCCAGTGGCAGTGGAAAGTACGCGCGAGAAAGGGGCTGCAGTACTGACGGCTGCGGGAGGTAGGGAACTGTGCAGGTTGTCCGGCAAGCAGGAACGCGGGCGACAGTTGCAGCCGCCCACCCTGAACCCCCCCCTTTTTTTTTTTTTCTTAGGGTTTAATTAATTAATTTAATTTTCTGGCGCTAAAGCGCTGCGGGGCGCGCTGCCTGCAGGGTGTGCTGCCTGCGGGGCGCGCTACCCGCGGGGCGCGCTGCCTGCGGGGCGCGCTGCCTGCGGGGCGCGCTACCCGCAGGGCGCGCTACCCGCGCGGCGCGCTACCCGCGGGGCGCGCTTCCTGCGGGGCACGATTTCTGCGGGGGGGCGCGCTACCTGCGGGGCGGGGCGACGCGGCGGGCTAGGGGCAGGGCGCACGGGCGCGCACGGGCTAGGGGCAGTGCGCACGAGCGACGGTACGGGCTGGGGCAGGGCGTATGGGCGACGTGACGGGCTGGGGCAGGGCGCACGGGCGACGCGACGGGCTAGGGCACGGCGCACGGGCTCCGCGACGGGTTAGGGCAGGGCGCACGGGCGACGCGACGGGCTGGGGCAGGGGCCACGGGTTACGCGACGGGCTGGGGCGGAGGCGCGATACGGAGGGCGTGGAGGGCGCGTAGGGGAGGGCTAGGCGCGGAGGCGCGGATGGCGCGTTACGGAGGGCGCGGAGGGCGCGTTACGGAGGACACGGATGGCGCGGATGGCGCGGAGGCCGCGTTACTCGAGGCTAGGGCACGGAGGGCGCTAGGGCGCGTGGAGGAGGGCGCGTAAGGCGCGGAGGCGCTCTAGAGCGCGGAGGGCGCTAGGGAACGTGACGGAGGGCGCGTAAGGCGCGGAGACGCGCTAGGGCGCGGAGGGCGCGAGGTAGGCTAGGCTAGGCAAGGATTCTAAACCTACTCGTGATACCATCTCAGAAAATGAATGCAACGGGATGATCAAACTAGCAAGTGTGGAAGTACAAATATGCAACCCTAACAACTGTACTCCCTATTGTGCTACTCACTGTAGCCTACAAGCATAGAATTACATTTGACACAAAACCCTTTCGACTCGATACCATCAAAACCCTTTCGACTCGATACCATCTCCCTAGCTCCATCTCCCAAGCTCCTAATTTCAACACGGGGTTCACTATTTTAGCTGCTGGCTAAAGCTAGCAACGTACTCCCGCCGACCCAGGTATATTTGGGGGGATGTTGACTTTTATGTTTAACTGCATGCTAAAGTAGAAGTGTAGTATCATCTAGTTTCTCTGTTGGTGGTGTACACTCTTTCCCCATCTTCCCTTGCAGTATCTTGTACGGTATTGTTGTTAGTGAAACCCCAACCTCTCTCGAAACCCTCTCACCACTCACGTCTCTAGCCATGGCTCCTAAGGCTAGTGCTTTTCTGATAGTCGGGGACCATGTGGATTGCTTATCTGGGTGGGAGGTAGACCTGCCTCGTTCGTACACAGAAATATATTTCTAACCCGAGTCTACTATTCGGAAGAATATACTAAATTCCCGGGTCTAGTATACGAGCGAATAGACTTTTAGGGTATGGTGATTTAAATGTCAAAGATTCGCAACTGGCTTTAGCAGCTTTAGATAAGAGATTCCGCACCTCATTTCGCACATTTGCTTGCTACTGGGGAGGCGAATTCGGTGTAACTGTATGGGTCGTGACACGTTTCCAAATGCAGGCGAGTAGAGCTACCACGTTGTCAAATGAACTGACTTTACTGCACGTTAAGTGGAGCAGCGTGCGATCGACAAGAACGTGTCCTTTCATATTAATGCTGTACATTCACTTTCACAACACAAGGCGACGGAATTTACATCTTGTCAAGGCCATCAGCACGAGACTTGAAGCCGATCTGGCCCCACCAGAGGCAGGCGAAGAGACCGAAGTGCCACAAGATCATCCAAAGCCTGAAATTGGCAACAACCGACAAATTAGTCGCCGCAAACCAGATAGATAAAGACGAGAGGGGGGGTCAAAGATACGACGCGCTTACCAAATGGGGGAGTCAATGCTGGGGCCAGTGGGCCAGTGAGCCAGCTCGGGGCCAATGCTCTCAAAGAACAGGCCGGTGAGGGACTTGCCGTTGATGGCGGGGATGCTGGAAGGCGCGAGCCACCCGACGAAGCCGAAGCCGATCACTGACAGGTCGGTGCGGAGCCAGTCACGCACGAAGCTGTCACAAGCAGGAAGGCACGAAGAGCAATTTGAATGTCAAGAATGATGTGAGGTGGAACATTGTTAGGAATCAAACAACCGTTGCGGACCGATTCACATACCAGGTGACGCGAGCCTCGGCGCGAGGAGCCTGCACCACGGCGCGCTGCCCAACAAATGCTGCAACATGAGACGAACCGTCAGTAATGCTCCAGGTTCTCAATCAAGGAACATTTTGCAACTAATCGTAAATACCTACCTGACTTGAGCTGGACGCGGGCGGTCTTGCGGGCAGCGAGGGAGGAGCCCGCGAGGCCAGCGGCGGGGGCAGCAAGGGAGCAAGCAGCGACGCAAGCCATGGTGACTGGTTGTGAGGGAGCAAAGTTTCAGTGCGGTGGCTGCAGTGCTTAACTCGAGTGGAGCATCTGAGCTAGTCTTTGTTGGTTTGCAATGCAAGTCCTGAGTGCCTTGCAACAGCTTGAGTGGGAGCCATGCCACGTGGAGACGTGAATCGCAATGGATCGAAATTTGCTCATTCTATTGGCTTGTGACGCGGGTTTAGGATAAGGGCGATACCAAGCGAAGTCGTCAACTTCACTCAGGTAACAAATTTGTCAGTAGTGGCGGCACCAGCCAGGGAAAAAATAGCTTCTGATTACACTTACCCCTAGGCTTCTGCAATCCTAGAGGACTGAAGAAAAAAAAAAGTATTTCTGTGCAATCAGATATATTTTCAGAATTGGAAACAAACGTGTTGTACCGAATACAACCACGATATGAAGTATCAATATAGAAATATTACAGAATGGCGTTGGTGGTGTATGCACTTTCCCCCCGAAATATTATGAAACTTGTAGGAATTTAAGGGTGATTTTCCTGACGAACATGCATATTAGGTAATTTCCTGACAAATCTTACTATCTGCAGACTACACTTCTAGCGCTTTATTATTATCGACGAATCAAGATTCTGACGTGGCCCCTGGGCATGACACGCACATCTTATGTCAACACTGTCCACCATGTCCGCTGGCGTGGCGAGTCGGCCATTGCTGCAGTTCACCACTCATGTGGTCCCCATCCCGACTTTGCCGCCGCTTGCGTAGCGATTTGCGCCGCGGGCACGTAACACGGTATTCACGATCATCTCTTAGAGGCTGCGCACACATCAAATCCTCGCACGCACTGCCCCGCCACATCGCCTAAATGGCCCTCACCGGCCTTGTCGCTGCCGCTCGGGTCCTTCGTCGGAGCTCTTGGAGTCGCCATGCGCGTGCACTCTTTGCGCTTCCCCCGGGAGTAGTCCTCCCGAGCAGCAAGGGGCCTCTCGCCGCCACTCGCTGCGAGGGTGCCGAGAGTTGCGCTCAGACCGACGGATCCGTCGCATCCCCTTTGCTTCTCCGCGCGCTCCATTCGCTCGTTGAGTCTACTCAGCCATCCGCCCCTCATCCCTCCGGCTCTGCCCCTCATGTCTCGCGTTCCTTCTCACCTGTCGTGCCGTCGCAGCTCGCCGCGGGGCTGTGCACGAGCGCTGCCAGCAGCGTTCCCCTGCCCGTGCAGCACGGCGCGTCCACGATGCGCAACGCCGTGATGCGCGAGGTGGGCGCGCCGCTGCGCGTGGAGCTGCTGCGCATCCCGCGGCCCCAGGCGGGCGAGGTGCTCATCAAGACGCGCGGTGAGCCCTTCCGCACTGCGCCACACGCTCATGTTGGAAGAGGGGTTGAAAGGCAGCTGGAGGCGAGATGGCGTGATCGCGTTCGAGCTTCAACCGCCCGTTGCGCATTCCCCATTCACTGCCTCTTTCCCAACCCACTCTCTCACGTTCTGCCCCCTATTGCATCTCGCTTCCCCCCACCTGGTCGCCCGTAGCATGCGGAGTGTGCCACACGGACCTGCATGTGATGCGCGGCCACGTGGCGTTCCCCGCGCCGTGTGTGCTGGGCCACGAGGTCAGCGGGGAGGTCGTGGACCACGGCGCCGGCACTGATGCCGCCACCATCGCCAGGTGCGCTGGGTGGCATGGGGTGCTGCTAGCAGGCCGCAGTGCAGTGAGCACGCACAGCTGCTGCCTGTGTGTGCCTTGCGGGCTTGCCTCACCCGCCTGCCATCAATGCAGCCAGCGCCATTGCCGCTACTACCCTGGGGTGACGCCTGCTGTGGTCGGCCTTTACAGTGCCACTCACCTGCTGTCTCTTCTCATCCCTGTCCCCCCCTGCTGCCCCCTGCCTGTCATGACCACGATGCATACGCGGGGGGAGCAGGCTGCCGGTGGGATCACGAGTGGTGGCGGCGTTCATCATGCCGTGCGGCTCCTGCTTCTTCTGCACCCATGTCAGTCACTCGCCCTCGCCACGCCACGCCACATCATTCCAGCTGCATGCATATACACCCCACATATGCCACACTCCACCCTGCCCACACGGCCTTCTTTTCCACGCCTCTCATCCCGAGCGCGCATGGCAGGGGCAGGAGGACATATGCTCCACATTCTTTGCATTCAACCGCCTGCACGGCACGCTCTACGACGGCCACACCCGCCTCTTCTCTGCCGACCCCTCCGGTGAGCGCCTGCCTGCCTGCCAGCGATGCTCCACTTGCACCACGTTGAGGCTGAAGCAGGCCATGCTCATGGCCCTGCAGCATTGTGCTCAGAGAAACACCGCCATGTGCGCACATTGTCACCCCTCTTCCATGCCATGCTGCAACACACCTGCTCACTCCCAACCAACCCAGCCCACCCACCCAACCCCCCTCCCACCTCCTCCCCACAACCCCCCTTACCCCCGTCGCACCCCCCCTTCTTCCCCCCCCTCCCCCCAAGCGGCCCCCCTGGCGATGTACAGCATGGGCGGGCTGGCGGACTACTGTGTGGCGCCCGCCACCGCCGTGGCGCCACTGCCCCCCGCGCTGCCGCTGCCGGAGGCGGCCGTCATGGGCTGTGCGCTCTTCACCGCCTTCGGAGCGCTGCGCCACGCAGGGGACGTGCGCGCCGGCGAGACCGTGGCGGTGGTGGGGGCGGGCGGCGTGGGCGGCAGCTGTGTGCAGGTGGCGCGCGCCATGGGGGCGGCGAGCATCGTAGCGGTGGACGTGGCGGAGGACAAGCTGCAGCGCTGCCGTGCTCTGGGCGCCACCCACACCGTCAACGCTGCCAAGGAGGACGTGGTGGACGCCATCAGGGTGGGTGCACCGTGGGGGTGCTGCACGGGTGGGGTGGGGTGTGTGGTAGGGCGAGTGTGATCCCCCTCAGCCCCTGTGGTTCACTCACTTGTGGTCGCCTTGCCCCATGTGTGTCCCATGTGTGCCCCATGTGCGCCCCATCTCGCCCCATCTCGCCCCATCCCCCCCACAGGCCATAACGGGCGGCAGGGGGGTGGACGTGGCGGTGGAGGCGTTGGGGCGGGCGGAGACGTTTGGGCAGACGGTGCACGCAGTGAGGGACGGGGGCAGGGCGGTGATGGTGGGCATTGCTAATGCCGGCACCACCGCTGCTGTTGACATCACCCGACTCGTGCGCCGCAATGTCTGTCCTCCACCCTGCACATGCTGCTCCCACACATGGCTTTCACTCCCACACATGCTTCTCTGCTGCTGCACCTCCGTCTTCTCTCTTAGATTCCTGCCTGGGGCCTTCCGACCTGCATGCTTCCCTCCACCCCCCTCTTCCCCTCCCTGCAGATCAAGATCATAGGGTCGTACGGGGCCAAGGCGCGGTCGGATTTGCCAGCAGTGGTGGCGCTGGCAGCAGCGGGGAGGGTGGACGTGGTGTCCAGTCTGGAAAAGGGCAATGTGCTAGGCCGGGCTATTGTAGACATGACTCTCTGATGCATTGCACTCAGCATGCAGCCTAATCTGAACGAGTGTCCGGAGTTGCTTCCGATTGATGTGTAGCTATCTGCTCAGCTCAACGTGCTATGTTTTTAAGCGATAAAAAATTTTGAGTTCTTGAGGAGAAAGCCATCTGCCTTGGAGAATACCATGCTTTTGCACTTTTCAGTAAAAAACATCAAACTGGAAAACTGAGCTGATACTATGCTGCAGAAACGATGGGAGGCAACTGGCCTTCTTTACATCTGTGCGGGGCATGCAGCATGCTCGCACAGCGGCAGCACCACGTGCCCTTTGGGCTGTGGCGCCTGTGGCACTTCGCCCTCCACCTCCTCACAGCACTCATCAACATTATATGCACAACCACACAAAACAATGACCATACACGCTGTCAAATGCACAAGCAGGTGGAAGAGATAGCGCAGACACACAAGCAGATGCACCCTGCACTGCTGCCGTGCAGCCTCCACCCAGCACGAGTGACACGCAGCTTCCATCACCTCCCCATCGCCCCGGGCTCATGACTCGTCCCAGTGCTCTTCTCTCTGCCCTGCCTCGCACCAGAGGGCGCTGCAGGGCGTCAGAGCATCCCGGGCTCCACACGGGCCACAGGGGTCCTAAGGGGAGGGTGAACACGCGCATCCAGACACACCGCTGCTGTTGCCGCTGCTACCGCTGCAGTGTGTCCATGTGTCGGGGTTGGTACCTGCACGGAGGCTCGTGGGAGCGCCTTCACCTGTGCTTTACAGGGAGTGTGGCGTGCCGCCCGCCGACCTGCTGCCGTACAGCCCTCGCGAGCCACCCAAGCCAGCGGACAGGCGCGGGCTGGTGCTGGAAGAGCTGCTGCGCGCCCAGCTGGGCAGCTGCCACCCCACGTGCAGGCGCTTCAGCGTGTACTCGTCGTCGGGGCAGTGCGGGCGCGACACGCGGATGGACCTGAGCGCGGGGCGGCAGCAGCGCGTGAGGCGCACGATGTCGTCGCGCATCAGCTGCTTGCACCCCGCCACGCTCGCCTCCTTCACCGCGCGCGCCTCCGCCAGCGCCGCTGCGAGCCCCGCGGCGGTCAGCTTCAGGCAGGCGGGCAGGGAGAGCGAAGTGAGGGCGGGGCACGCGCGGACGAGCGCGAGCAGCCCGTCGTCGCTCACGCCGCACGACGGCAGCGCCACGGTCTCCAGCGCCGCGCACGTGACGCCGTCAAATGCGGTGGCCTTGACGTCTGCGCACGCCTTCACGGAGAGCGCGCGCAGCCGCGCACACCCCGCCAGCAGCCGCTGGATGCCCTCGTCGCTGACGTGGCAGTTGCTGAGGTGTATCTCCGTGAGAGCGGGGCAGTTGGCGGCCACCGAGTGCAGCACGGCGTCCGTGACAAGCTCGCCGTTGAGGCGTAGCAGCGCCAGGTGTGGCAGACCGCCTCTGAACGTGTGCACGCCCGCCGCGCCGACCGCCGTGCCCGTGAGCACCAACTCGCGCAGCTTCTTGCAGCCGGCGATGACGGGCGACAGCCCCTCGTCGGCGACGGCGTCGCACGCGTGCATGTCCAGCACCTCCAGCGACGGGCACCCGCGCGCCAGCCCCGCCACGGCGCCGCTGTCCACCTGGCGGCTGCCGCGCAGGCTCAGCACGCGCAGCTTGCGGCACCCCGCGGCGAGCGACGAGAAGGCCTCGCGCGAGAGCTGGTGCGTCTCCCCAGCGCCGTAGTCGAGGTACAGCTCCTCCAGCCGGCGGCTGTGACGGCCCAGTGCCGCCAGACCGTCATCGCTGACGTCCACGACGCCCAGATGCAGCAGGCGCAGCTGCGGACACCCCGCCGCCACCTGCGCGACGCCGGCGCCGGTGACGCGCTTGCAGTGCTTGACGTCGAGGTGCTCCAGCGCCTGCAGCCCCGCGCCGACGGCGGCGAGCGCGGCGTCCGTGATGTCCGTGAAGGAAAGGTCGAGCTCCTCCAGGCGCCGGCAGCTCTGCGCAATGTGCGCCACCACGGCGTCCGTGAGATGCGGAACCGAGCGCAGGCGCAGCTTGAGCAGGCGAGGCAGGTGCGAGCCCAGCGCCATGAGCGAGTGGTCGGGACCCTTGAAGGCAGGCAGGGAGAGAATGGAGAGGTTGGGACAGCCGCGAGCGAGAGCGACGAGTCCCGCGCCATCAGCGGCCTTGCAGGTCTCGGGCACGTGCAGCTCGAGCAGCCGCGGACACAGACGGCCGATGCTGGCCAGGGAGTCCTCGGAGCAGTCGAAGAGGAAATTCAGGTTCAGCACCGCGAGCGACGGGAACCTCGCCAGGAGCTTCGGGAGTTTGGATGCCTGCGGAATTGAGAATGGCAATGGGAGTCAGCGTACAGACACGTGCATAGAAGGAGGAAGAGGCGACGACAATGCGGGAGGCAAGAATTACCTTGAGGCCACTCAAAGAGAGGGTCGAGCAAGCCAGGCCGGAGGATGCCAGCCATTGCTGGCTAACGAGCGACGCTGCTCTCAAATGTGCTCTCCTTCCCGTATCTTGCTTCTCCAAATTCTGTAACGCGCAAACAGGAACGACGTTAGAAGGTTGCAATTAGAAACGCCGGCAACTGATAGAACTACCTAGAACGACATGCATACCTTCAAAATTTCGACGAGAAGCTCGCCAGGCAAGTCGTCAAGGCGACATGAACTGGACGGAGGGGACGCCACTGATGGCGAGGAAAAGTCGTCGACCTCAAAAATCATGATGATTAGTAGGAGAAGAAAAGCTGGTGGAGCGAAGCGTTGACCAGAAGGTCACTAGATTCTACAGGAAAAAAAGGGCCAACCCGTAAATCCTTCACACACTCATCTTGTCAGGCTGGCTTTAGGAGACAAATTAGGAGAAAGTAATCTCAGGGAACGTTGGAGGCAGAATGTGCGAATGTGTTGGCTGAGAGGGCGAGCGACCAAATACGCGTGGAGGGGACCGACGAATGCTGCAGCTGCGCTCTGCTGCGCTGGCCCGCCGGTCAGGGGGGGACGAACAGCACAAACCAGCTCCCCCAGTGGTTTGGGGGGACTACGTGTACGCTTTCCGTGTGCAGTCAGGTTCGGTGCCGGTTCGGGCAAAGCAGATGGGGGCAGCCTGGCGAAATCCAACGATCACGTGCGACGAGTTGCCTTTTATGGTAGGATTCAAACTCACGTGGTAACCTCCCTGCTGGTTGGCTGAAATATCAGCATTCTCCCGAACCTTCTTGCCACGAAGGCAGGTGAGTCCAGATTCGGCCCCTTCTCTTCGCGGGCAGACAGTAAGCAACGAAATATTCAGTTGCCTTATCCCGTTTCCAAGTGCGATGGGCAATCCAGCGTGGATGATGTTACTGACATGTCATGAAGTGCCTTGTCTCGTGTCATCCTAATGTGTTGCTAGTTTTCTATTGGCTGAAATACGTGACACTTTTTCTAGAGTACGAAGATTGTGGGCGCATCACCTGAAAGGACTGCTCAATTTGTTCATGAACTAACATTCCCCTGACCGAGCAAATCTCAAGAGACTATACTCAATGTCTGCTGTTTCATAGGAGTAATAGACCTGCTTATACTCCAAGCCACCTACAGTTCTCGTCTGATACATGTAACGCATCTGCGTGTACGAATGCTTACAGTGCATCCACATCTCTATGTGTCGCGACCGACAATGATCTAGTTCTCAGCAGTTCTTACCCGTATGCATCGTGCTGTTAGGAGCTTTCGCAGTGGCGATGCTCCGATCGGCGGTCATTACGCGCTCCCAGCAGATCAAGCAAGCTGTCGGGCGCCAGTTTGCGTCCGCCGCGGCAGCAGCTGCTGAAAGCGCGGGGAAGAGCAAGGTGAAGGCGAAGTCGACGGGAGGAAGCAGCGGCGGGAAGAAGAAAGCTTTGGAAGACCAAGGGAAGGCGGCCTCCATTGTGGAGGCGGCGCTTCGTCATGCTCAAGTAGAGCTGGTAAGATCTGTAATGACGTCATCACCGTGCGGCTGTATGAAATGGGCGAGGGAACCATGAAAGTTGCCTTTATTGGTTGTTGAAGCGCTGTTGTCCTTTGAGTACTGACGCATCCTTCGTCCGATGCTCAAAGGTTCATGTTCTCCGTGTATTGCTGTAACCGCTGCTTCACGGGCTTGAACGATTCAATCGTGCAGAGATTCATGATGCTGCCCCCTTTCCACCCATTCGACCCCTCCCCCACTTCTCCTGCCCTTCACATACCGGCTCTCCACAACGCCACCCTTTTCTTTTCCACCCAGCCAAATCTGGATGAGGCGACTCAGGAGGAGGAGAGGCGGATGGCGAAGGAGTACTCGAGGTTGATGATGCAGAAGCACCACCAGCAGAGAGGGGCCGAGTCAGCCAGGCTCAAGCTCAAGCTGGCCGCCATCCAAGCCCTACCTGCTGGCAAGCTTAGGGATGCCGCCATGCTTCCAGATTTCACTCCCTTCCCGTCCAATCGGATTGCACCATCTCTGACACCTCCAATCAAGGAGCTGCAAGAGGAAAGAGCAAGGACTAGCGACCAACAGGTTGTAAGAAAAATCCGGTAGTACCATTTGCTCCTATCCCTATGAAACTGTTCTAGTTCCTCAGTAACCTGTGCCAAATGGTGTTACGAGGGTTCTGGGTACAGCTAGGTCAACTGAAACATGGATAAAAGACTGCATAGCTTAGTATACTTACCGGTACATTAGTGAACTCCCCAGTGATAGGGCTGCATCTGAATGTAAGGTGGCTAGCCCTCAACACAATGTTGTTCCATTTCATCTCCGCAGCATTTTTACAATACTTGGTGGCTTGAAATTTCACTCCTTATATGATCAGCTTTGAGATCCAAGCACGGAGCTTGATTGCACAATACGTAGTGTACCTTGGATGAAAAATTAGATGTTGGATGAAATGGTGTTATATAACCCAAACGTTATGAATTGATTGCGGTGTATGTTCAGATTCTAGGCGGTCCGCTGCTTCCCACCACTCTGCAATTCGTGTCGTGAGGCATCTGAACTGGAGTCGCGTCGCGAATTCGCGTGGCTTCTGACTCACCCAGCCCTGCTCTGCGAGACCCATCTCTGCACCACCGCGCACCCATCCGCGCACGACCCACTCACTCACGCCCACAACTGCTCTTCTGTGGGTCGCCGTGCCAGCCATGAATGTCGGTAAAGCAGGATTAAGTGATGGGCCGAAGGAGTTCGCCGAGCTGGTGGCCATCACACACTAACAGGGCGATGTACTTGTCAATTCACTAATGTTGACTTAGTCCCACTAGTGTTCTAGGGTTTTCTACTCGTGGCAGGTGTAGGCGGCACACATGCTCTCAATGCTTTGAGTAATTCTCCCCAAGCTTGGTAATAGTCCCCTCGATGCTAGCGACGCCTGATTCGTACCCCTTTCGCCGGCAGCCATGCCGCCGTTCAAGTCCCGCATAGCGCTCCTCACAGGTGCGATTTCACCTTTGTGTTCCGCCTCTACCTTGACCTTTCCTCTCGTCACCCTGCGTTGGTATAGTTCGCTCTGACGAGTAGATCTCCACTTTTCTCCCATCGCCTTTCGAGAGGCCATGTCCCTTGGCCCCCTCGCCGTCCTGTCCTCATCGTTGCTACCGCATCTCCATCCCATTCGCCTAGTCCGTCGTCATACCTCCTCACCCCCTCTCCCTCGCCACCCCAGCTGTAGATAGCCCTTAGACGCGCTCACGCCGCCTCGACTCACTTCCCCCGTGCTCCCCTTGCAGCGCTCGTCCTTGTTACGTCAACGTGTCGGCCGTGCCGCGCCGATGGATGGGAATTGGACCACGCAGCGTCGCACCCGGCGGAGCGACCGTTCACGTGCGTGCACGACTCGCATGTGGCGGCGCGCAGCAGAGAGCACACGCGCCGGCAACTGGCGTCGTACCGCACAGGGTGGGTGGGGTGAGACGTGGGCGGGCGCCGGTAGTGTGGGAGTTAGAGGGGGTGGAGGGGCAGGTGGAAGAGATGGGAAGAGGGGTGAGAGAGCACGGGCGACGAATGGCGTCGAGGGCAGCCCCTCGTCTTTTTGTTCTGACGTCCCTTCCTCTCCGCACCTCTCAGGTTCGGCGTGGGGGAGTGGGCTCGTCAACGCCCCTCCCCGCCCTCGCGGCAGCTGCTTGGGACCGCCTCTCCCGCCGCCACTGTCTCCGCCGCCTCCGCTTCCCCCCCTCGACCGCTCCGCTTCCACACGGTGCGCCCACTGCCCCAAACTCACCCCAATTCCTTTTTTCCCGCCCGCTCATGGTTACAGGCCCACCCAATGCCCCAGCCAGTGGGGTTGGGAGTGCTGTGGTCATTCCTGCAATTTTCTCCTGGTTACATGCTGTGCCATCCCGCCCACGCTCTCCTTCCCCAATTCTCACCTCCTCCCCTCCCAACACCCACCCTCTCCCCCAGCCGCTGACGTGCTCGTCTGACTTCCTGTCCGTCGCCACCTGCGACTCCGGCTGTGGCCCCTCCTCTACCTCCTCTCCCTCCTCTCCCTCCTCCTCCCCCGCCTCCTGCCTCTTTGGCACGTGCAAGCACAAGACCAGGTACGCCGCCGCATTCCCCTGCTCCTGCTCCCGCTCCTGCATGCAAGCCTGTGTCTCCCGCCTTTCACCGCCCTCTGCCGCCCTCTTTTCCTGTCTTATGCCTAACCCCCCCTTCCCCTCCCCTCCGCAGTGTGGAGTCGCAGCGCTGCCAGGCGCCGCGCGGAGCGGAGGAGAGCCGGTCAGCGGAGGTGCAGCAGCTGGGCATGGCGTACGGCCCGTCATCGCGCTGCTTCCTGCACGGTCCGCAGTTCTTCGACTATGCCTTTGGTGCCGGCGCCACCCCGCCCCCCGGCGCCGGCTGCTACCCCATGCGCTGCGTCCCCTCCGCCTCCTCCTCCCGTGACTCCCGCTCCTCCCGCTCCGCTGACTCTGCTGGTGCCCACGATCCCCCGGCGGGGGGCAATGGCAACGGCAACAGCAGCACCACACTCACCCCCAAGGCGCAGGGCGGCAGCGCACTCTCGTTGCCCGCCCCTTCCTCCACCCCCAAGCGCCAGCTGCGGGGAAAAGGCAAGGGGAAGGGCAAAAAGGGGGGGCGGGGGAAGCGGGGGGGCGGGATGGTGGTGGAGGTGCGCGTGGGCGCGCAGTGGTACGCGTGCCCCTCGGGGCGCATGGTGGCGCTGGACCAGGGCGGAGGGGACTTCCACGGCGGGTCCATCGGCCCCTGCCCTGACAACCGCCGCATGTGCCTCTCCGCCTCCTGCCCCAACGACTACTCGGGGAAAGGTGCACAAGGAGAGGGGCGGAAAGGGAGTGAGCGGTGAGGTGGAGCGGCTGTGCTGCCTGCTGCCTGCTGTCCTGACCTCCTGTCCTGACGACCACCCTGACTGTGCGTGACCGTGTTCCTCCCCTACCCCCCATCCTCCCGTGACCTGTGTGTGAGCAGGCATATGCTACAACAGCACGTGCTACTGCCTGCCCGGCTACGCTGCTGCTGACTGCAGCCAGGTGAGACCATGCCTGCCGCTTCCTCAGAAACTGCCTCGTATGCTTCTTCAGCGTCCACTACCTTGCACATGCCTTCTGCCCCTTCCTTATGTACTGAAAGCCACCCGCCCGCCCCCATCTCCTCCTATCCCTGCCATCCCCCCTTCAGGTGGCATGTTCACCGCTCGCCCTCACGCCTGCCTCCACCTGCCGCGCACCCGCCACCTGCGACCACGCCTCGGGCCTCTGCCTCCTGCCCTCCGGCCGCCCCTACCCCCTCCCACTCGCCTCCGCGCCACCCTACACTCCCCCTCCCCCACCCTCCCCGCCTGCTCCTCCTGTCTTCCAACCTCCACCCGCCCCTGGAAGCACCACCGCCAACAGCAGCACCGGCAGCAACAGCAGCGGCAGCAGCAACAGCAGCATGGGGGGAGAGGCGCCGCAGCACGGGGTGCTGGTGCGCAGCGTGGTGGTGCTGGGGGGCGCCAACATCAGCGCCATCCGCGAGGGCGCGCGCCTGCAGGAGTTCCAGGCGCAGTTCCAAGCGCAGATGAGCGCAGCGGCGCGCACGACGGGGTACGAGGGGCAGGTGGAGGTGGCGATAGAGGCCATCTATGCCGGCAGCATCCTCGTGCAGTCCACTGTCAACTTCTTCCAGGCTACCAGCTTCACCATGCCCGGCCTGCTGCTCCACAACCTCATGTAAGCCGCTCTCGCTCCCCTCTCCCGCTCGCTCACCACCACTCATCTGTAGGGGGCTGCTCAGTCATCCTCGTGCAGTCCACTGTCAACTTCTTCCAAGCTACCAGCTTCAACATGCCCGGCGTGCTGCTCCACAACCTCATGTGCGTTGCTGCTATCACCCACTCACTCCCCTCATCCGCTCGCTCCCCCCACCCGCATGCTCACCACACATTTCCAAGGGGCTACTCGCTGCGCTGCCCCTTGCCCTGAGCCGTCAGCCTGTGCTGACGCCTCCTGTCTCCCCTTCTTAATCTATCTCCTCTATTGCTCTTCCGTCCCTTCCTCCCACCAACTTCCCCTTATCCGCCCTCCACCCCCTTCCCCGCTCCCCCCTTGACAGCACGTCCCCAGCGATGATATTCGCAGCATCATCCTACTTCCTGGCGCTGCCCTCCGGGCGCATCTCGTCCTTCAACTGCTCCATGGCCGCCGCGCCCGCCTCCAACAGCGCGCCCCAGGGCGCGGAGGGGCCGCCCCTGGGCATCTCGTACGGCGCGTGGGCCGCCATGGCTGCCGCCATCCTCGTGGCTGGCGTCGCCATCTGCACCGTGCTCAGCCGCCGCGGTGAGTCGAGGGGAAGAGGTGGGGGGGAGGAAGTGGGGAGGGGAGAAAGTAGGGAGGGGAGAAAGTAGAGAGGGGAGAAAGTAGGGAGGGGAGAAAGTAGGGAGGCGTGCTGCTGTTTCTCTTGCTCAGCCGCTGCAGTGATGGGGGGGGGAGGAGGGAGAAGGAGTGGGGAAAGGGAGGGGTGCTGCTGTTTCTGATGCTTAGGTATATGTGCTGGTGCTGACTCGTGTGTGTATGCGTGTCTCTGTGTGTGTGAATGGCAGCATCAAGAAGGCGACGCGAGGCGCTACTCTACGCACAGTAAGTGTCGCATCACCCTCACAGCCTTGCTCTTCCTGCCCGCCCTCACAGCCTTGCTCTTCCTGCCCGCCCTCACAGCCTTGCTCTTCCTGCCCGCCCTCACAGCCTTGCTCTTCCTGCCCGCCCTCACAGCCTTGCTCTTCCTGCCCGCCCTCACAGCCTTGCTCTTCCTGCCCGCCCTCACAGCCTTGCTCTTCCTGCCCGCCCTCACAGCCTTGCTCTTCCTGCCCGCCCTCACAGCCTTGCTCTTCCTGCCCGCCCTCACAGCCTTGCTCTTCCTGCCCGCCCTCACTGCTCAATCCGCTCCCTTCCACCATTCCTCCCCGCCTGCCTCTCATTCCCTCCTGCCTCTGTGTGTTCCCTTCCGCGTGCCCCTACCACCCCTCCCCCTGTGCGAGCAGCGGGTACGACGCAACAGGGGCGCCGTGGTACATGGAGGGGGAGGAGTACGAGGACGACATGGAGGCGGACCTCGACCTTGATCTCGACCCCCTCGAGGCATATGCGCAGGTACGCTTCCTCTCCTTTCTCCTGCCCTCCCAACCCTGCTCATGCCGTGGGATTCATGACCACTTGCCGCCATGTGCGTTGGGTGTGCGCACCCCATGCCACCTCCACATGCTTCTCCATCCCTCGCTCATCACCTCTCTTTCCTTTTCCCCCTGCTGCCTGCTCCCTGCTCCTTGCTCCCTGCTGCCTGCTGCAACCGCTACTACTGCTGCTGCCCTCTGCATTGCTGCTCCGCACCTCCCATCCTACTAGCCCCTCTGCCCTTGCTCCCTCACTTATACCTATCACCCTCGTGTACCTCTCATCACTCTCCCCCCTTGGCTTGCCACAGAGCATCCGTGTGGGTCGCTCGGGCCGCCTCACTGCCTCCGGGCAGCTCAACCCCTCGGGGCAGCTCAGAACTTCCGGGCAGCTGCGAACGTCTGGGCAGCTGCGGCGGCTGGCATCAGGGCAGCTACAGGTGCCGGATCACCTGAACCTGAACAGCACCACCACTGCCTACCCCACAGGCAACACCAATGGTGGCACCAACGCCAGTGGCAGCGGCGCATGGTCGTACTCTGCCATGGGCCCGCCTGCCCATGCTGCCCCCTCTGGCTCCACCGACACCACCGCTGCTGCGGGGGCGGGGGGAGGCGAGCAACATGTGCGCATGTCCGGGCAGTTGGTGGGTGGGGGACAGGGGGCTGCCGAGGGAGGTGGTTCGGGCATCGCAGGGTCGGGCATAAGTTCGGGGATAGGTTCGGGGATTGCAGGGTCGGGCATGCTGTCGGCATCAGGGTCGGCGTGGGGGCAGATGCCGCACTTTGCTCAGCTGAACCGGTCGGGGCAGCTGAGAATACTCAAGCAGCTGGGCACTCATGGGGCAGGCACTCCTCCCATGGCCATGCATGGCCACGGGCAGGGGCAGGGGCAACATGGGCATCATGGGCAGGCAAGGCAATCGTCCCCCCGTGCTGCTTCCCCACAAGCCGGCAGCCATCCAGGCCAGTCATTCCAGCAGTCAATGCAGTCAAGCCAGTCAATGCAGCAGGCAAGGCGGGCGGTATCCGGGGTTGTGCGCTTCTCCAACCCGCTGGCTGCCGCCCACCACACCACCTCCTCCGGGCAGCTCAACGCGCCCCAGCGCGGCGCCAACCAATGGCTGCGCAGAGCCCGCTCCAATGTGGGGCTGTCCGGGCAGGTTGAAATGTCGGGCAGGGTGGCGCAATCAGCGCAGATGGTGAGAGTGCCCAGCAACGGGGAGTACTCTGTTGCCCAGGTTACCCCATCCGGGCAGCTGAGAAGAAATCTCTCTTCTTTCGCAACTTCGGGGCAGCTTCGGAACCCGTCAGGTCCGTTCGCCCAGTGGGGACGGGGGGGGTCGGGGCGGCGGGAGGAGCTGGCAGAGGCAGCAGAGATGGCGGCAGAGCAGGCAGAGACGGCTGATTTCTACACCCGCATGCGCAATAAGGCCACTTCCGGGCCCATCTACTTTGGATGACTGGCACGCATTGTAGCTTGTACATCACGTTTATGCGTGATAGCTGAATAAGTTATAGCACACATGCACATTGGCTGTGTGTCCTCCATCAATTGCCGATAGGAATAGATCCTTATTAAGTGGGGGGGGAGTGTGGAATAATCATGTGTTGATATGTTACACACGCTAGTATGGTAACTGAGCTGTGGTGTAGCACATTTGAATCTGTAACATCTGATTATATTGTAGGCCAGACCTGAGCTAATACATCACAGGCGGTACCGCCATCGCCCGGATAGTAGGCAGTGTTGAATAGTAGACAGGGGTTGTCTATTATCCGGGTGTCTCTTATAAACAGGCTAGCCTCATTATAAGACACCAATTTGTGTGTACGAGTTAAGGGTGTGTAGGGGTTAGGGGCAATTGTATAACGAGGGGGTGTCTTCTAAACGGTTTTTTGTCCATTTATAAGACTTATAAGACACCCTAAACCATCCCAAATACAAGATAACCCAAGCATTTTGAGTAGTGTACGAGATAAGACATATATGTCTACTATCCGGGCGATGACGGTAGCAGCTTGTTAGTACCACTAGGACCTCAGCATGACCTTCATATAAGAACTAACCTGACTAGTGGTGCGTAGCAGTTAAGTAACGCCCAGATCTAGCAACTAGGCCAGATAGCAAGTGAAGCAACACAGTCTCATGAAAGCACGTTCGTGGTGGGCGGGGCCTAGTACCCATCCACGCACACCACTGACACTAATTGCAGCCACATTATTTACAGCAGGGTGGGCTGTCTCACGCCCTGCTTCCACTAGTGAGGGCCTTGAGGCGGGCAGCAAACTGTGTGGAGAAGTGGGCGGCAGCAGCAGCGATGGGGTGGGCAGCGCCGTGCAGCGCGTGGGCGTTGGAGGCGATAAGGGCAATGTCGTGCAGCAATGCGTCTAGTGAGCGGTACCACCCCGATGCCATGCGCGCCTGTACCAGAGCCACACTCATGGGTACTGGGATGCTGGAGGGTGGGGAGCGGAGGGGTGTGGAGGGGACGGGCCAACGGAGGGGGTAATGGGTGCGAGGGGAGGGTGGAGCTTCAGGCGCAGTGCCAAGTTGGAGGTTCACGGGCGTGCAGGTGGGAACAAGGTAGAGCAGGGCAGAGCAGGGAAGGCATGGGGCAGAGCAGAGCAGGGACGGCAGCTAGGAGAGTTGTGTGCAGCCAGCAGTGCAAGCGACAGCAAGGCAGCGAGGTACACGCACGAGGAGAGGGCAGCGGGGGAGGAGTCGGGCGAGTAGAGAAGGTGCAGTGTGCCGTGCACGCCCTCGTCCTGCTCCACCGCCCTCAGTGCCTCCCTGGCAGCTGTGAGCAGGTGCGCGGCCATGGCGGGGCGGGTGGGCCAGAGCGCGGGGTCGGGGTCCAGCAGCTCCCACGCGCTCTGCCTCTCCACACTGCGGTCGTGCGCGTAGTACACCCGTAGCCTGAGGGAGGGGGAGTAGGGGGGGAATGGGGGGACAGCGGTGAGAACGGAGGGGTGTGAAGCAGAGGGCATGCAGAGGCAGTGGAGCAGGTTGGGAAAACGGGAGCAAGAGGGGCAGCAAGCACTGAGGGGCAGCAAGCGCTGAGGGGCAGCAAGCGCTGAGGGGCAGCAAGCGCTGAGGGGCAGCAAGCGCTGAGGGGCAGCAAGCGCTGAGGGGCAGCAGGCGCTGAGGGGCTGACCTGCGCCAGGGGCTGAGGGGCAGCAGGCGCTGAGGGGCTGACCTGCGCCAGGGGCTGAGGGGCAGGGCGGGGTCAAAGGGGCCATCGGACTGGATGCGGCCGCGGAAGAGCACTGCGCGTGGGTGCTCTGCCACTGCCCTGCCCCATGATGACTCCGGCAGGGGGGGTGGCTTGAGGCCTGGTGGCAGTGACTCCCGGCTCCAATACGCCTACGGGCAAGCATAGAGGCGCGTGCATGGGGAGGGATGGAGAGGGGAGGGGTGGTGAAAAGGGGGGGAGGAGAGTGGAGCAAGTAGCAGCAGTGGAAATAGCTTTGTGCGTGGTGCATGAACCACCTCCCACCGCCCGCCACACCTCATACCAGGCAGTGCTGCTTGGGGCACCAGCCCTTGGCCAGGGCAGCATCATAGCGCCAGCGCTCCACCACATACTCTTCGCCCTCCTCCTCCACCTCCACGCCCACCCGCTCCCCAAACGCCGGGCTCTCACTCTCCACCACCAGCAGCACCGCTCTGCACCCCACTCGCCGCGCCTCTCCCGCCCCCCTGCCTCCCCCTCGCCGCCCCTGCCCTGCCCCCCCGCCACCGCTCTCCACCCAGTAGTACCCCACCTCCTCCACCACACACGGCTCCGCCGGCCGCAGCTTCCTCCGAAGCTTCTCGTCCAGGCCCCGGCTGCGGCTGCGCCCAGCACTTTCCAGGAAGCTGAGGTGGCCCTGGAAGCAGTAGATGACGTCATCACCCACCTGGGGCAGGTAAGGGTCGCCCTCCCTCCACTCCGTCCCCCCCACCCACCCCGCACCCGCTCGCACCCGCCCCACTGCCCTGCCACCCCCCTCGCTCCTCTCTCCATCGCGACCTCCTCTCGCCTCGGCCCCCACTGTCCCGGGAGAGGGTGCCAGGGCTGTGAGTCGGGGGGAAGCACGCGGGGTGATGGCAGCGAGGCGGGGGCTCCTGGAGGAGACAGCCAGGGGGGAGCTGCGAGCACCAGAGGCAGTGGGCGTGGCCGCAGGCGAGGTGGGGAGGCGTGGGCGCAGGCGGGGGCTTGCTGTGTTGTGTGGAGGAGGTGGGGTGGGAGCAGTGCGGCGAGAGGGTGGGGTGCGGTGCTGTGCGGTGCTCCGCCTGCCCCGCTGCTGCCGCCCTGCTGTCTGTGTGCGTGTGGCCCGCTTGCCCCGGCGGCGGCGAGTGCTCCTGGTTTGCCGAGAAGCTGCCCTCTTCCTCTTCCTCTGGCCGCCCATGTCCTCACTCCCCTCACTCGCTTCACTCCCCTCACTCGCTTCACTCCCCTCACTCGCTTCACTCCCCTCACTCGCTTCACTCCCCTCACTCGCTTCACTCCCCTCACTCGCTTCACTCCCCTCACTCGCTTCACTCCCCTCACTCGCTTCACTCCCCTCACTCGCTTCACTCCCCTCACTCGCTTCACTCCCCTCACTCGCTTCACTCCCCTCACTCGCTTCACTCCCCTCACTCGCTTCACTCCCCTCACTCGCTTCACTCCCCTCACTCGCTTCACTCCCCTCACTCGCTTCACTCCCCTCACTCGCTTCACTCCCCTCACTCGCTTCACTCCCCTCACTCGCTTCACTCACTCCCCTCACTCGCTTCACTCCCCTCACTCGCTTCACTCCCCTCACTCGCTTCACTCCCCTCACTTGCGTCACTCTCATCACTCCCATCACTCTCACCACCCGCATCACTCCCCTCACTTTCATCACTCCCATCACCCTCACTTGACTCACCATATGACTCACTCTCCTCCTCCTCCCCCTCTTCCTCCTCGGCCTCTTCCGCCTCCTCTACACTCTTTGCCCCCTCCTCCTCCTCCTCCTCCTCCTCCTCCTCCTCCTCCTCCTCCTCCTCCTCCTCCTCCTCCTCCTCCTCCTCCTCCTCCTCCTCCTCCTCCTCCTCCTCCTCCTCCTCCTCCTCCTCCTCCTCCTCCTCCTCCTCCTCCTCCTCCTCCTCCTCCTCCTCCTCCTCCTCCTCCTCCTCCTCCTCCTCCTCCTCCTCCTCCTCCTCCTCCTCCTCCTCCTCCTCCTCCTCCTCCTCCTCCTCCTCCTCCTCCTCCTCCTCCTCCTCCTCCTCCTCCTCCTCCTCCTCCTCCTCCTCCTCCTCCTCCTCCTCCTCCTCCTCCTCCTCCTCCTCCTCCTCCTCCTCCTCCTCCTCCTCCTCCTCCTCCTCCTCCTCCTCCTCCTCCTCCTCCTCCTCCTCCTCCTCCTCCTCCTCCTCCTCCTCCTCCTCCTCCTCCTCCTCCTCCTCCTCCTCCTCCTCCTCCTCCTCCTCCTCCTCCTCCTCCTCCTCCTCCTCCTCCTCCTCCTCCTCCTCCTCCTCCTCCTCCTCCTCCTCCTCCTCCTCCTCCTCCTCCTCCTCCTCCTCCTCCTCCTCCTCCTCCTCCTCCTCCTCCTCCTCCTCCTCCTCCTCCTCCTCCTCCTCCTCCTCCTCCTCCTCCTCCTCCTCCTCCTCCTCCTCCTCCTCCTCCTCCTCCTCCTCCTCCTCCTCCTCCTCCTCCTCCTCCTCCTCCTCCTCCTCCTCCTCCTCCTCCTCCTCCTCCTCCTCCTCCTCCTCCTCCTCCTCCTCCTCCTCCTCCTCCTCCTCCTCCTCCTCCTCCTCCTCCTCCTCCTCCTCCTCCTCCTCCTCCTCCTCCTCCTCCTCCTCCTCCTCCTCCTCCTCCTCCTCCTCCTCCTCCTCCTCCTCCTCCTCCTCCTCCTCCTCCTCCTCCTCCTCCTCCTCCTCCTCCTCCTCCTCCTCCTCCTCCTCCTCCTCCTCCTCCTCCGCAGCATCATTGCTTGTATCATGCTCCGACTCCTCTGCCTCCTCACCCTCACCGCTGCATCCTTTCGTCTCTGCAATCTCCTTCTCTGTCGCCTTGCTCTCAATCCCATTCCCATTCTCCCCTGCACTCTCCCCATCCGCACCCTCCCCTGTCTCTCTCTTGCCATGCTCCAATCGCCTCCTCACCTTTCTCTTCCCGCCCATCCTCGCCCCTTGCTCTATTCTGAGCGCATCGTTCCCCTCACACCCCTCCTCCTTCCCCCCACCCCCTATATCCGCCTCACCATTCGCCGCTCGCTCACCCCCATCTGCCCCCATCGCCCCGCCATCTCCCACCCTCTCACACTCCCCACTCGCCCCACCATCCCCGCCTAGACCATCCCTCTCCTGCCCCTTCCCCCTCTCGTCCTCCTGCTCTGCTTCCCCCTTCCCCCTTCCTCCCCCTCCACAAGCCTCGTCGCCATCAGCAGCACCACATCCGCTTCTCTCCCCTTCACTGTGCCCGCCACCACCATCCACGCCACCACTTGCGCCCCTCTCTCTCTGCTCGCCCCCCGCGTTCCCCTCCGCGTCCTCCCGGCCCTGCCCTTCCTCCATCGCAACACCCCTGTCTGCACTCCTCCCACCCTCTTCCCCAGCCAGCTCCCTAGCTTCAGCTGCATCGCCAGCCCTGGCAGGAGCCGGGGCATCAGCAGGCGCACCAATTGTGCATGTGTGCTGCCCCTCACTGCTGCCCCATCTGCTGCATAGCACCTTCATGCCACCATCGCTGCCTGCTTGCCCGCCACCGCTCTCCCCCTCACACCCTGGCTCCCCATTCGCATTCCCTCCATCACACCCATTCCTCTCGCTAGTATTGCCTCCGTCTCCCTCCTCCTTGACGCCCACCTCCCCTCCGCCATCCTCCCTACCGCCCTCGTCTCTGCCAGCCTCCCCCCCACCGCCCTCGTCCGTGCCCCCCGCCCCAGCACCAAGCGGGCTGAGCAGGTCGTCCCCAGGCAGCCCTGCGCCCTCGTCCGCGCCCTCCTCCCCAAACAGCTCAACGAACAGCTCCTCCTTGCGCGCACTCATCTCCCCCCCTTCCTCCTCCCACTCCCCTCCGTCCCCCGCACCCCCTGCGCCCTCACTGCCCGCCCTGCTCTCCGACCCCAGAACACCCTGCAGCAACCAACCTTCTGCACCCTCTGCTGCTGCACAGCCCTCCATCGCAGCACCATCCGCGCCAGCAGCATCAGCAGCAGTCTCACCACAAGAAGCACCACCAGCGGCACCAGCAGCACCAGCAGTGGCATTCGCCATATCCTGCTCGTCCTCACTCTCGTGCCCCTCCCGCTTCATCCCATCCCTCCCATCCCTCCCATCTTTCCCATCCTTCCCTCCACTCCCCTCTGCCTCAAAATGACGTCCCTCCTCTATCTTACTGCCCCCCTCACCCGCCGCCACACCAGCACCTGCCTCTCTCGCGTCCTCCTCTGCGCCCTCGCCCTCCCCCTCTCTCCTCACATCCTCTCCATTTCCATCCTCCTCACCAGTGGCTCCCTTCCCCTCGGCAACCTCTGTCTGGCACTCAACATGACTACCTGCTCCTGCACCTGTGCCTGCACGTGCCCCTCCATGTACCCCGGCATCCCCCCGTCCACCATCGTGCAGTCCCACAGCGTGTTCACCCGCACTGGCCCCGCTCCCAGGACCCACCATGTCTGCACCACCACCCTCACACACAGCAGCAGCCGGCACTGCTGTGCGGGGGAGAAGCAGCGCCAGAGCACACACACCTGACCCACCGCCGCCCTCAGCCTCCTGAACATCCCCTCCTCCCACTCTATCTGTGCGGCCTGTGCGCTGCACTGCTGTCCCCCGCGCGTTCCTCTTCCTCCTCGTGCCAGCCGGCACCGCCACCGGCAGGCCCCCGTGCGCCGCTGCTGTAGCAGCGGCAGCAGCAGCATCAGCACCTCCAGCAGCATCAGTTAGGTTGTTAGCAGCGCCAGCAGGCGCGGAGTCAGCAGCGGGCGCGCTTGGAGGGGCGCCAGGCGTCGTCGTCATCTGCACAGCCCACACAGCGCCCACCCCACGCACGCCTGCACGTTCGTCAGTACCCAGTGATGCACTCTGCACGACCCAATTCGACATGCGCCCTCGCTCACCCCCTGCTCGCTCTTGCTCCTCCTCATTCTCTTGCCCCTCCTTACTCTCTTGCTCCTCCTCACTCGCTTGCCCCTCCCCACTCTCTTGCCCCTCCTCACTCTCAAGTCCCTTCTCACTCTCATCTCCCTCATTTCTCTTCCTCGCCACTCCCTTCTCTCCCCCCCTCCCCTTCCCCCGTGGTGTCCTAGCCCTCAACAAGTGTCCTCCCTTCACCACGTCACCACCCTCGCCCCTCTCCCTTCCCCCCCTTTCCCCACTTGCAAGCCCCTCTCCCTCACTCTCATCCCCGCCCATCCCCTCTGCATCTTCGTCCTCACTGCCCTCCCCATCCCCTGCCAGCCCCTCCCCGCTCGCCTCACCCAAAGCTCGCCTCCCCCTCTCCCCCACACCTCCCCATGACCTCCCTGACCCCACCCGCGCCCTGCCCCCATCCCCACCTGATCCTGCAACTCGCGCCTTGCTGCCTCTTCCTCTGCTGCCCGCGCCCCTCCCTTGCCCCGCCCTTCCAGATGCACTCCCGCCTCCCCTCCCCCTGCCTCTACCTCTCCCCCTGCCCCTGCCCCTGCCCCTTCCCCTTCCCCTTCCCCCGCCCCTGCCTGCCACCACCCGCACTGACTGCCTCGCCCCCCCGCCTCCCCCCCGCACCTCCCCCCTCCCTGCAGGGAGTGCCCCCGCCCCTGCTGTGCGCTTGCGTGTCTTCCTCTTTCCCCAGTTGGGCTCTACTTTCCAATTCCCCTGATCTTCCTCCTCCTCATATTCTTCATCTTCTTCCTCTTCCTCCTCTTCCTCCTCATCTTCCTCCTCATCTTCCTCCTCATCTTCCTCCCCTTCTTCCTCTTCCTCTTCTTCCTCTTCGTTTTCCTCTTCCTCCTCCTCCTCGTCCCAGATTTCCTCAGCACCACCGGCCTGGGTGGGATGCACAACAACAGCATCACCACCTCGTGCTGCACCCACTCCCAGCCCAGCAGGTCTCAGCAGGGCAGGTCTTATTTGGGCAGGTCTCATCTGAGCGGGCCTGGACTGGGCGGGTCTTATCTGTGCGGGTCTTAACTGAGCAGCTTGGCTCACAGCATGTCGACTGTTGCTCCTCGTTCTCCTCCCTGGCGTGCTCTCCGCACCCACCTCTGCCACCACATTTTCCTCTTCTTCCTCCTCTGATCCAATCTCCTCCATCACTTCCTCCTCCTCATCCTCCTCCTCCACCTCCTCTACCTCCTCATCCCCCTCATCCTCCTCCTCCTCCACCTCCTCCGCATGTTCCACCTTTGCCTCCCCTCCCTCCTGCGCCTGGGCGAGAGCGTGCTTCTGCAGGGTCTGTGCGGCCTGGGTGCGTTGAGCCTCCATGCGCTGTGCCACACACACACACACACACGAGCGCACACACAAACCACAGACATTGACATAAAATTAGCAAAGTTTCCACACCCAATGCAGCAAAGAGTCACGCTCATGGTGCCTCTCTTCACACAACAGTCACATGCCCTCTGCCCCCTGCCCCCTCCCCCTTCCCCCACCCCACTGCCCCCTGCCCCCTGCCCCCTGCCCCCTGCCCCCTGCCCCCTGCCCCCTGCCCCCTGCCCCCTGCCCCCACCCCCGTGCCCCCTGCCCCCTGCCCCACACACGGCAGCGCACCTGTTTGAGCTGCGACTTGGTCACTCCACGCAGCGCTGCACACGAGCTGCCCGCACTGCCGCCCCCGCTGCCGCCCCCACCACCACCCGCTGCAGACGCGCCAGCACCACTCGCACCAGCAGCAGCATCGGCACCACCAGCAGCATCAGCAGCAGCATCAGCAGCAGCAGCATCGGCAGCAGAGGGTTTTCTGAGGTTAATTTTGAGTTTGAGCCCGTTTCCCCCCACAGGAGTAATGGCACTCTGCCCGCCCCTCACTGCCAACACGCCCTGCTGCCCCCTCCCATGCCCACTGCCTTCCCCCCCTCCATGCCCGCCCCCCGCCTGCGAGCCATGCGGCCACTGGTGGCCGTAAGGTGCAGTGGCCAGGCTTCTAGAGGCGTGCCCCACCCGCTTGTACTGCTCCACGTCCTCCTCCTCCTCATAATCCTCCTCCTCATCCCCGTCCTCACCTTCCTCGTCTTCCCCTTCCTCCTCTTCCCCTTCATCCTCCTCTTCCTCATCCTCTTCCCACTCATCTTCTCCTTCTCCCTCCTCCTCATCATACTCCTCCTCTTCTTCCTCGCCCGCAGCAAACCTTCTCTTCCGCGCACCACTCTCCTCCTCCCAAGGTTCTACATCCCACTCCCCCTCCACCTCCACCTCCTTCCCTGCACGCCTCACACGCCCTCTCCCCCTGCCTCCCCGGCCTCCACCTCCCCTCGCCACCTTGCATGCCCTGCCCCTCCCCCCTCTCCCCTTTTTCATCCCCCGCCCTTGGCCCCCCCCCTTCCCCTTCCCCATTCCACTCCCCTTGTCGCGCCCACTCCTTGTAACCATCCGCCTCCCCCGCTGCTCCCGCACCTCCTCAACCCCCTCGTCCTCCTCATCCCCCTCGCCCTCCCCTGCCCTCCCCCATCGCCGCCTCCTCTTCCCCAGAAGCCTCCGTGACCGTCTTGTGCCCTGCCCATCCTCCTCCTCCCCCTCGCCCTGCCCACCCTCCTCCTCCTCCTCCTCCGTCTCCCCCTCCTGCTCCTCCTCACTCCCTCCGCGCCTCTCCTCCTCCCCTCCGCTCACTTCATACTCTGAGTCCTCCTCTCCCCTCTCCTCCTCGCCCCTCTCCTCCTCCCCCCCCATGGTCACTTCAAACCCCTCATACCGCCTCACAGGTAGCCTCTCCCTCAGCTCCCACCGCTGGCCTTCCCGCCGCCTCACCTCTCCTCTCCCCCTCCCTCCATCACCCCCCCCTGCAACACCCCCCTCTCCCCCGCCCACCCTCCCCTCCTCCCCCTCCTCGCCCCCACTCACCACCTGCACCTCCCCATCCTCTTCCCTCCTCCCCCTTCCTTCCTCCCTCCTCACGCCCTCCCTCCGCCCACCTCCCCCGCGCCCGCCACCGCCAGCAGCAGCAGGCAGGGGCAGGAGGGGCAGGGGCGCGGAGCCGGGGGCGCCAAGGGGCTCGTTGGGGACGGGCTGAAAGGCCAGGTCGTCGGCCTCTATGCGCCCCACCCGGAGCGGGAAGGAGGGGGGGTGGTAGGGGCGCGCGAGCAGGGCGAAGCGCAGCGCGTGGAAGCACGCCTGGTAGGGGTCGGGGTACGGCTGCATGCCCGCATCGCATATCGGATCCATCCACGTGCGCTCCTCCGTTAACACGTTCGTCTCCTGGTGTGGGGGGTGGGGCATGAGGGGCCATTGGGTGCGCGGATGAGATGGGAGGCAAGAGAGTGAATGGAAGTGGGAGAAGCAATACGAGCAAGAGCGGGAGTGCAGGGGAGAGTGGGAGGGAAGCAGGAGTGCAGGCGAAAGCAAAAGTGCAGGCAATCGGAAGTACAGGGGAGTGCATGAGTGCAGGCAGGCATGAGAATGCACCTCATCGAGGGCGTTGTGGAATGAGTCGAGGGCGAATCGACGATAGTCGCCCAGGAAAAACTAATGTGATGGTGCAGGGCGGGGCATGGGGGACGCATGAGGGGCACATGGGAGAACGAGAGGCAGTTTAGGATAGTGGGGGAAAGAGAGTGGACCCAGGACCGTTTGAGAAGGACGAAGAGGGCACACAATGAAGGACACGAAGTGTGTGGGCATGGCAGAGAGGCATGGCACAGGGCATGTGGCCATGGTACCTGGTCCATGTGGATGTGCGCCCACCTGATCCATGTGGATGTGCGCCCACCTGATCCATGTGGATGTGCGCCCACCTGGTCCATGTGGATGTGCGCCCACCTGGTCCATGTGGATGTGCGCCCACCTGGTCCATGTGGATGTGCGCCCACCTGGTCCATGTGGATGTGCGCCCACCTGGTCCATGTGGATGTGCGCCCACCTGGTCCATGTGGATGTGCGCCCACCTGGTCCATGTGGATGTGCGCCCACCTGGTCCATGTGGATGTGCGCCCACCTGGTCCATGTGGATGTGCGCCCACCTGATCCATGTGGATGTGCGCCCACCTGATCCATGTGGATGTGCGCCCACCTGGTCCATGTGGATGTGCGCCCACCTGGTCCATGTGGATGTGCGCCCACCTGGTCCATGTGGATGTGCGCCCACCTGGTCCATGTGGATGTGCGCCCACCTGGTCCATGTGGATGTGCGCCCACCTGATCCATGTGGATGTGCGCCCACCTGATCCATGTGGATGTGCGCCCACCTGGTCCATGTGGATGTGCGCCCACCTGGTCCATGTGGATGTGCGCCCACCTGGTCCATGTGGATGTGCGCCCATTGGTCCTTGCCCCCCGTGGCAAACACATACACCTGCCCCACCTCGTCCGCCACGACCAGCCCCGTGCCGTCCCTGTCACCCATGCATGCACACATGCATGCATATGGCCGTGGGGGGAAAGAGCGTTGTGCATGGGCATGGGGTTGGGAGGGACGCACATGGGCATGGAGGAAATAGGGACGTGTATGAGCATGGGTGGAAAGAGGGACCAGCAGCCATGGGTGCCTGGAGGGGGGGAAGTGCAACAAATCAGTAGACGATGGGTGAATGGGAGAGCGCACGAGATACTCGAGGCTGGATGGGGCTGGATGGGGCTGGATGGGGCTGGATGGGGCTGGATGGGGCTGGATGGGGCTGGATGGGGCTGGATGGGGCTGGATGGGGCTGGATGGGGCTGGATGGGGCTGGATGGGGTCGGATGGGGCTGGATGGGGCTGGATGGGGCTGGATGGGGCTGGATGAGGCTGGATGGGGCTGGATGGGGCTGGATGGGGCTGGATGGGGCTGGATGGGGCTGGATGGGGCTGGATGGGGCTGGATGGGGCTGGATGGGGCTGGATGGGGCTGGATGGGGCTGGATGGGGCTGGATGGGGCTGGATGGGGCTGGATGGGGCTGGATGGGGCTGGATGGGGCTGGATGGGGTCGGATGGGGCTGGATGGGGCTGGATGGGGCTGGATGGGGCTGGATGGGGCTGGATGAGGCTGGATGGGGCTGGATGGGGCTGGATGGGGCTGGATGGGGCTGGATGGGGCTGGATGGGGCTGGATGGGGCTGGATGGGGCTGGATGGGGCTGGATGGGGCTGGATGGGGCTGGATGGGGCTGGATGGGGCTGGATGGGGTCGGATGGGGCTGGATGGGGCTGGATGGGGCTGGATGGGGTCGGATGGGGTTGGATGGGGTTGGATGGGGTTGGATGGGGTTGGATGGGGTTGGATGGGGTTGGATGGGGCTGGATGAAGCAGACAAGTTGCTGGAGAGCAGCAGCAGCCGGAACAGGGGCGCACATGACGGGAGGCACCAAGGGGGGCCAGGCGCACAAAGGGACTTACGGAGAGAAGTGCCCGTCGACGAGTTGGAAATTGGTGACGTGGCGGATGGCAATTGGCTGTCCCTTCCAGATGTCCCACACGATAACCCGGCCATCGTACCCCGCGCTCATGGCAATGCGCGGGTCCGTGGGATGCACGTCCAGCACGAACGCCTGATGGGGGCGGGGGGAGGGAGGCGCGTAGCAGCGGATGGGAATGATTCGAGACGCCTCAAACTCGATGGGCGGGTGTACGGGATGGACGTTCGACAAGCACGTGTGAGGGGGCAGTGGGCATGGGGAAAGAGGACGGCAGGGGTTGTGGAGTGCATGCGAGGAAGGCAGGGGTTGTGGAGTGCATGCGAGGAAGGCAGGGGTTGTGGAGTGCATGCGAGGAAGGCAGGGGTTGTGGAGTGCATGCGAGGAAGGCAGGGGTTGTGGAGTGCATGCGAGGAAGGCAGGGGTTGTGGAGTGCATGCGAGGAAGGCAGGGGTTGTGGAGTGCATGCGAGGAAGGCAGGGGTTGTGGAGTGCATGCGAGGAAGGCAGGGGTTGTGGAGTGCATGCGAGGAAGGCAGGGGTTGTGGAGTGCATGCGAGGAAGGCAAAGGTTGTGGAGTGCATGCGAGGAAGGCAGGGGTTGTGGAGTGCATGCGAGGAAGGCAGAAATGGAGGTAGAGAGTGGGAAGGTCGGAGCCTTTTCAAAGCAACCACCCACCCGGACCTTAGTGTGCCCCTCTCACCTGCTCGTGCCTGTGTGCGTGTGACCCCTCACCTGCTCCTGGTGTGCTGTGAGGCAGTGTATGAGCTCGCCTGTGGCCGCCTGCCACACACAGATGCGCGCATCTGCCATGCATGGGGGGAGGAGAAGGACAGACGCACGGGCAGAGATATGAGCAGAGGAAGAGTGTGAGACTCTGGGGCTAAGTGAAGAAAGGCTGGGTGGAGAGATGAGGAAAGATACAACAGGCGAGGCAGCAGCGCCTTCTGCTACACACACACACACGCATCTCTGCTGCAGCTATTCCTGCTGCCAACCAGCAATGGCATGCCAGCTCCCAAGGGCGCACCTGTGAGGGCAGCCAGCACAAACTGGCAGTCGAGCGACCAGATGATCATATTCGCCGCCGCCCCCGCCGCATCCCTGGCCCTCGCCCTCGCCCCTGCCCTCCCCCCGCCCCCTGCGCCCTGCCCTGCTGCAGCCCCCGCGGGCACAGGCAGGGGGCGCGGGGGGGCGGTGAGCTGCAGCGCCTTGTGCCAGTGCTGGTGCTTGCCCTGGGGGGATGGGGACACAGGGGGGGGAGGTAAGCGGGAAGAGGATGAGAGAGAGAGAGAGGCTATGAGAGACGATGAGAGGTGAAAAAGGAACAAGGAGTGGAAGTGACGGGGCTGATGGGGTGAAGGGCAGGCTAGCAAGCATGCATGCATGCGTGCACGCAGGGGCCGAGCCGAGGACGGCAAGAGCCTCTCATGTGCGCTGTGAGAGCACATGGATCCGTCACCGCCTTTCAAGCCACTCACATGCACGCGGCGCGCCCGCGGGCGCCAGATGAAGGCGGAACCGTCTCGCGCACACGAGACTATCGCCTCCACTCCCCCCCGGTTGGCCGTGCTGCCATGCCATGGGGTGGGGGGGTGGAGAGACGGGGAGGAACGGGGAGGGAGGGGAAGATGACGGTGAAAGAGAGAGGACAAATGGGTTTGGGGAGATGGGAAGCAGGTGGAGAGGGGTGTGAGAGATGGGTGAGAGTGGCAGGCGAGATGAGGAGTGGTAGTGAGAGGGCATGGTGCAGCTAACAGGGCATGGTGCAGCTAACAGGGCATGGTGCAGCTAACAGGGCATGGTGCAGCTAACAGGGCATGGTGCAGCTAACAGGGCATGGTGCAGCTAACAGGGCATGGTGCAGCTAACAGGGCATGGTGCAGCTAACAGGGCATGGTGCAGCTAACAGGGCATGGTGCAGCTAACAGGGCATGGTGCAGCTAACAGGGCAAGGTGCAGCTAACAGGGCATGGTGCAGCTAACAGGGCATGGTGCAGCTAACAGGGCATGGTGCAGCTAACAGGGCATGGTGCAGCTAGCAGGGCATGGTGCAGCTAACAGGGCATGGTGCAGCTAGCAGGGCATGCGGGGCTCACTTGAGGGAGATGAGTCGCCTCTCCTTGTCCTTCTCCTTTCGCTTCCCCCCCTCCGCACTTCCCTTCCCCTTCTCCCCCACACCCCTCCCCTCCTCGTCCCCACCAGACGTCACCTCCTGCTGCACCCCCGCACACCCACTGCAGCGCAAGGGGGGGAAAGAGGGGGGAGGGGACGGGAGGCAGGGTGCATAAGGAGTGGAGCACGAGCAGAGAGGGGGGCAATGGAGGTTTGTGTGGTGAAGAATGAAAGAGAGAGTTGTGGCAATCAGATTTAGAGGGGCCGGCAGGCAGGCAGCAGGCAGCAGGAGGGGCGAGGAGGTGAGAGCAGGAGCGGGGAGTGGGGGCAGCACCTGAACTGCACGAAGTTGACTGACCCCTGATGCCCTAGCAGCTCCTGCACCTCATGCTGCACCCCCACTCTCTCCCGGCCCCCCGCACCCACCCCCGCCGCCCACGGCCCCTGCTGCTGCTGCTGCTGCTGCTGCTGTTCCTGCTGCTGTGGCTGCTGTTCTTGTTGCTGTTGCACCTGTTGTGGTTGCTCTTGCTGTTGTTGCTGCTGCTGCTGGGAGGGCTCCTTGGGTGCGAGGGCAGGGAGGCGCGCATCCCACACCTGAGCACAAGGCATACACGCACACGCACATGCACATGCACATGCACATGCACATGCAGGGCTCCACAACAAAACATGTGATTTTGTGACACCGCATGGCAGTGAATATGATGACATGAAACGGCAACAACCGGGCGAATCAGCATCACATGCTCACCCTCGTGCGCCCATCCTCACTCACCCTCGTGCGCCCATCCTCACTCACACTCGTGCGCCCATCACACTCACCCGCGTGCGCCCATCCTCGCTGCCAGTGACAAAGAGAGAGCCCTCGGCGTTGAAGGCAGCGCACAGCACTTTGGGGGGCAGCATCTTGGCCCGCTCCTCAGGAGTGAGCTCGCTGCCCCCCTGCTGGATGCGGCTCAGAAACGTCCCTGGCGGGAACGGGATCTTGGTTGCTGTTGGGCCATGGGCCAGGGGATGGGAGGAAGGGGAGGGGGAGGGGAGGGAGGGGAGGGAGAGGAGGAGAAGGGAGGGGAGGGGAGGGGAGGGGAGGAAAAGGGAGGGGAAGGGAGGAGAGGGGAGAGAGAGACGGTTGAGTTATGGAAGCGAGTGCAGAGGAGCAAGTGGGCGTGAGATGAAATGGGGTGGCATGACTCATGAGGCAGTGAGTGGGACTGGCCGGAACTTTTGAGAGGGGAACACACAGCAGTGAGAGCAGGGGGGAGCAGGAGTTGAGGGTTTAGGAGCAGAGGGTGGGAGCAGATGGCAGAATCCTGGTGGCTGCACGGCGAAAGCAGGAGGGGAGAGGAGGGAGGGGAGGGGAAATCGGAAGGGGGGGAGGGGAGGAAAGGGGAGGCGAGGGAGGGGAGGCGAGGGGAGGGAGAGGAGGGGAGGGTAGGGGAGAAGACGGCGATTCGGGGAACGGGGATTCGGGGAACGGGGATTCTGGGAACAGGGATTCGGGGAGCGGGGATTCGGGGAACAGGGATTGGGGGAACAGGGAACGTGGAATAAGGTGGCACGAGGCAGTGGGGACGGCTGTGGACTTGTGAGTCGGAAACATCAAGCAGTAAGAGCAGAGGGTGGAGCAGAGAGGCGGAGTAGAGTGAAGGGGCAGAGGTGGGGAGCAGAGGTGGGGAGCAGAGGTGGGGAGCAGAGGTGGGGAGCAGAGGTGGGGAGCAGAGGTGGAAGTACCGTGGGAGGCGGGCAGGAAGAGGCGCAGGCAGGTGCTGTCCGCTGCTGCTGTGACGTCCCACAGGCGGCATGAGCCATCCTCCGATGCCCTGATGAGCGCCATGGGCATTGATGGGGAGGATGTGCGGCGGTTAGTGAGAGTGTGAAGGCCAAACAACACACACAAGAGGAGGTGAGAGGAAGGGGGGGTGGTGGAGAGGACAGGGCGCGGGGGGTAGGAGCGAGAGAGGGAGATCACACAAGAGCACATGTGAAGCTGAGAGAAAGCAGGTATGGACGGATGGGAGATGGAGGTGTGGACGGGTGCATAGGAGAGGGGCAGGAATTGTGGCTGGCAGGACGTTGAGAGGGGTGGCGTACGAGAGGAGGTGGTGGTGAGTGGTGGGGCTGAATGCAACAGCGGTGACGGCGTCTGCATGGCCCACTAGCGTCACCTCCAGATGCCCACTCGGTAGCTCCCACTGCCACACGCACGGGGAGAGGTGGGACAAGGAAAGTGGGTGGGAGGTCGATGAGGCGAGGAGAGGAGGGATGGGAAAGACAGCAGCGAGTGTGCGGGGGAGGATGAGGTGAGGGGGAAGGCGGTTTGGGACGGAACAACAGTGGATGTGTGGGAGGTGGTAGCAACCAGAACAAGGAATGGCGATAGGGCAGGGACAGGGAGAGTGGTGCGGGGGGGAGGGCGGGCGGCACTGACCACGCGGATGAGGCAGTCGTTGGACGCTGATGCCACCCACTTGTCGCCCCGACTGACCGCTAGATCCGTGATGTCACCCTGTATGTACGTACACACACACACGCACACAAGCACAGAGGTGCAGACGCAGGCCACGTCGATCCAGGCAAACATGACAAGTGCACACATGCAGAGGGCGAGGGGAGACGTTATGGGCGCATGGAGGGGGGGACTTGCCGTGTGGCACAGAAGGGGGGGCGAGGACTTACGGTGTGGGCGCGGCAGGTGGAGAGGCAGATGCCATGGTGCATGCTCCAGATCTTCACCAAGCGGTCGTCCGACCCCGTTATCAGGTACCGCCCCCCGTGGTCGTACACCGCTGCCAGAGGAACGGATAAGGATACACAGCCAACGCGGGGAAGTGGAAAGAAGGACGCGGGTGTTGAGAGGAATGGGTGGTGTGTGTGCGTGCAGTTAGGTCGGGAGCAATGAGTGCCAGCAGCGTGAGGCGCGAGTGTGTAAGTAGGGCAGTGAGAGCAAGCAGGCAAGGGGGGCAGTGAGCACAGTTAGGGCGAGAGAGGGGGGGGGAGAGGGCAGTTACCGCAGTAGACGGCGTTGCGGTGGCCGCGCAGCACCTTCACTTGCTCCATGCGGCTCAGCAGCAGCGCGGGGGACGCCACTGCCAGCGACGCCGCCCTGCTCTCACCAACGGGGCGGGGGAGAGGGAGGGAATAGGGGAATGATGGAGGGATGGGCGGGCGGGTGGTAAGATGACACAACGGGCGGACAGAGCGGGGCAAAGGGTTATGGTGGTGGGGTGAGAGGTGCAGTGGCAAGGCCCACGCGGAGGGTACCATGCAGAAAACGTACCGTGCGCTGACAGCCCTGGCAGCACGCGAGCAGACCCCTCCGCCCGTTTCTCTGAGCGTGAGGGAGCGCAGGAGCGGTGCAGAGAGGTGCGGATGGGCCGTGTGGGGCAGAAAGGTGCGCGGAGGAGAGAGCAGCGCTGGCAGCCACTCCGCTGTTGATGGGAGGCGGATAGGGGCGGGGAGGGCGATAAAGCAAGCAGGGGTGGAAGTGGAAGCGATGAAGGGAGCAGGGTGGGGCGGGGAGTGGGGAAAGACAGAGAGGAAGTGCAGCAGTGAGGATGTGAGGGAGGGAGGGAGGGAGGGAGGGAGGGAGGGAGGGAGGGAGGGAGGGAGGGAGGGAGGGAGGGAGGGAGGGAGGGAGGGAGGGAGAGAAGGCACGCGTGGCTCATGTGTGGCAATGGCATGCACATGTGCCGATTGCCCCAAGCCTCAATCCGCGCCTACCTCGTCTCAGGCTTATCCCGCCATGGCCCAGCAGCGTTGGCACGTCTCCCGCACACACCCACCACCTGTCCCGTGCTCCTGCCACGCCCGCCCCCCCGCTCACCAACACACCCTCCCCGCTTGCACCCTTCTCGCCCCACTCGCCCCTCTCTGCCCCGGCCGCTGCTCCCACCACCGTTGCCGGCGATGCCAGCACGAGCGCTCTGCTGCCTGCCGCATCTGCTGCTGCCACCACTGCTAACGCTGCCCCAGCTGCTTCGCCACCTGCTGCTGCCGCCACGCCTGCTTCAATGGCCCCTGCTGCTGCAGCAGCCTCTGTCCCGCTTCCCAGCATCTGTGCCACAGCCGCACCTACTGATCTCTCTGCTGCTGCCTCTGTGCCACCTACCTGCCGCCCTGCCTCCACGCCGCGGCCGGCGCCCACATCCACAGCTGCAGCGGCGGTTGGGGCTGCGGCACCTGGCAACGCCTCCTCCAGTGCAGTGGCGGAGGCGGAGGCGGAAAGGGGGGCGGCGGTGATTTGAAGCTGGGGGGCAGAGGGAGGAGCAGAGACGGTGGGTGCAACAGCTGCTGCAGCAAGCGGGGCAGGGGGGAGGGCTGGTGCTGCTGACGGTGGCGGGTGGGCCGGGGCGGAGGAGAGAGGCGCGGAGGGGAGGAGGGAGGCGGAGGAGACAGCAAGATGGGACGACTGCAGCAGCTCCTGCAGCAGCAGGAAGAGGTGGTTGGGTGCTATGTGCGAATACCTGGAGGGAGCAGCACAGCGGGGCATGCACACACAGACAGCAGGTGGGAGGCACAGGGCAGGGTGAAATGACCGAGCGGAGGCATATGGTTGCCCATGAACACAATAAAACAAAGACTTGCTGATTGTGCGGTCACCCAATGCAAGGTGCCCAAGCATTACAGGCGCGCACCTCTCCCTGAGCTGCTCGTAGTTCATGGGTACAGTCATCTCCGACTCCCTCTCCGCACCCCCTCCCCTCCTCCCACCCTCCCCAGCCTTCACTTGTGCGCCCACCACCCCCGCCTCCCCATGTGCACTCCCCTCGCTGCCACGCTCGTTGCCTCTGCCACCCGGCCGCCCTTCGCTCGCGCTGCTTGCGCCTGTCCGCCTTCCCCCATGGGAGTACACCGCATGGTACCGCTGTGGAAGCAGATTCAACTCCTCCAGCTCCTCTTTCAAAACTTCTGCTGCCCGACGGCAAGGGCTGCCCGTCAAAAAGTGCAGAATGAGGAAGTACACTTCCCTCATGTCCGCTTCAGCGTCCCCTCCCGCTGCCGCCGCCAGCGCCATCATAGCGCCACGCGACGGTAGACTTGCTGCTCTCTGATTGGCTAACGACCCTGCCGCGTCGTTGGATGGCGGCTGTGCGCGCTTGCGCTCGCCAGCGACGGGAGGGCGGCGGGTGGACGCGGGAGGGCGCGGGTTTGCCCCGGAGGAGCGCCCGTTGGCGGAGGCGTTGGCAGCGCGCGCGGTGCCACGTGGGACAGGCGGGGCGGGAGGAGCGGAGGGGAGGGGAGGTGTGGCAGAAGGAGGGATTACTGGGGAAGACTCGGTGGTGGGGAAGGTAGAAGCGGGGGGGGTAGTAAGGGCGGGGTTAGGAGCAGGAGAGGTAGGAGCAGTGGGAGTAGGAGCGGGGGCACTAGGAACGGTGCGAATGGGAGCAGGGGGATTAGGAGCAGCAAGAGTAGGAGCGGGGGCGAAAGGACTAGGGGCCGGGGAGGTAGGAGCGGCGAGAGTAGGAGCAAGGGGAGTAGGAGCGCTGGGGGTAGGAGCGGAGAGGGTAGGGGCGGAGGGGGTGGGAACGGGGGGAGGCGAGTGAGCTGGAACCGAGGCGAAGGCTGCGCTAGAAGCGGGGCTTGGGGAAGGAGCGGATGCGGGGAGAGTGGGTGCGGGGGGAGTGGGTGCAGGTGGGTAAGTGGGTGCGGGAGGGGAAGAGGTGAGAGATGAGGTGACGGCAGGCGCAGAGGAAGCGGCGGAAAGATTGGGGAGGCGAGAGTCGCGGAAGAGTGTCGCGTCAGCGTCGCACAGGGTTATGCGCGGGCCCGGTGCGCCCGCTGCACTCGCCGCGGGTATGACTGCTACCTCGGCAGTCGGGTTGGCGGAAGGCGCCCAGGCAGGTGGTTGGGAGAAGGAGCCAGGCGCGCGGACGGAAGGCGGGCGGAGGGCGGAAGCAGGGGGAGCAGCGCGGGCGGCAGGGGGAGCGGAGAGAGAGGCAGCAGCTGGACCTGACGGCATGGCGGTGAGGAGAGCGCTACACGCAGCAGCTTTAGCAGCTGTAGCAGCTGTAGCAGGCATGCTGCCACTTGGCGAACCGTGTGTGAAAACACCCGCATTGTTCCTCTCTGCCTCCTGCATAAGCAGACTAAGCACGCGCGTCTGCGATTCCGGATCCAAGGACGAAAGCGCGGGAACAGGCGCAGGATTTGGAGCATACGCAGCAGCCGACGCGGAAGCAGGAGGTGACGGTACCCCAATCATGCGAGACCCCACGCCATTCAACCTCTGCGGTGGAGCGGCGGGTGACGCAGCTGCAGGGCGGGAGTGGACGGTGGGCGCGGCGGCAACGGCGGAGGGACCGCCCACCGCAGCCGTCGAGGAAGCAACGTGGAATTGAGAACCCGCGGAAGGCGCGGAAGGAGGGGAAGGCGCGGAACGGGCGGAAGGAGCGGAAGGAATGGACGGAGCGGGCAAGCAGGCGGCGGCGGAGGCTTGTAAGAAGGGAGCGGTTGCGCCTGATTGGTTCACGTTCTCCTGGCTCTGCCGCGGCCGAATCGGATGGATTGCCGATGGACCTGACACTCCGACGACCTGACGGTTGAACGCAGTGTTCGGCGCCGAAAGACCCACTTGACCGTTAAAAGCAGCCTGCCCGTCAGGAGCACCGAATTGCCCGCCGTGAGCAGACGGCATGTGGTTTCCATTACGGGCAAGAGCGGCGGTGTTTCGAGGGCCAGAATTCACGGCGTTAGCAGCTGGAGCGTGCAGAGGCAACGAGGAGGGGTGCATAGGCGGCGTGCCCGCTGGCTGCGCGGCCGACAGCGGATATTGCGAGTTCTGAGGAAACGGCGACTGCGGCGGATAGAACGATTGGTTTTGAAACGGCAAAGACGAGGACGAGAGTGGGGCGGACGTGGGGCGCGACGAACCCACGTTGGGATGAGAAAAACGCGCGTCAGGCGCCGGTTGCGAGCTATGCTGGAGTGACGCGTACGAGGCTTCGTTAGTGTAAGCTAGTGAGTTAGACGTTATGAAGTGAGCCATCTGAGAAGAAGAATATGGGTTACTGTTAAGGTATCCCGCCGATAGCGGCGGTGCTTGCTGGTTGAACTGAACGGTCTGTGGGTGCGACATTGCGGCGGGAAGGGAGGGACGAATGGCGGATGAGGAGACGAGTGAAGGCGAATCGGAACTAGAGGAGAGAGGAGGATGAGTAGTCGTGCTATGGTGATAGCTCGTATGTGTCAAGTTATTCATGGGCGGAATGGCATCCGAAGACCAATTATGATCCTCTTTTATGTCGCTAAAATTAATAGGGTCCATTGCCTCGGACCTACCACCCTTACGCTCGAGACACAGACCTTCGCCTCACCGCAGATGCTGCTGCTCGGGAGCAGCGAGGGAAGCAAGCAGCAAGTGCGGAGCGGACGGACACCAAACACCCATGACCATGGTGGTTTGATTTGGAAACTTGAATTTCAAACGAACACACTTCAAGGGACTAGCAAAGCAAACCACTGTTGCTTGCCTGCTGCTGCTAGCGACTAGGCGAAGCCCGTTCCCACCTGGTAATTTTCGCGACGGTCGCGGGGACGAAATGCTGGATGATGGGCATGAGCAGAGGTGGGCTTGAATTCCAAGCACGTGCTTGCGATATTTCGCAAAATGGTAACAATTCGCAAGGCGCTGAGAACCAACTGACGTGCTCTGCCGCATCCAACCAAAGCCGTCAGCCCCAGCCAGACCCCAGCGCAGAACAGCACTACCGCCAGCCGACATAACACCAGGCATTGCGGGAACCCTAACTTTTCGCGCTGCGAACAAGGAATCTTAGGGCGAACAAGCCAGCCATGGCGGAGCCATTCACTCGCTCCGTGTCGCAGCTCGTCTGCGCTCAGATTTGCGAGTCTTTCGGCTTCCAGTCCATCCAACGGTCAGCGCTCGAGACCCTGTCCGACATCCTGACTCGCTTCATCACCAGCGTTGGCGACGCCGCACACGCGCACGCGGAGCTCGCAGGGCGAACCGACGCTAACGCCAACGACGTCGCCCTTGCGTTATCCGACGTCGGCACGTCGCTCGGCGATCTCGCTCGCTTCGTCGAATTCGCGGACGACATCTCGTCGCCATCGTTGGCGCAAGCCGTCCCGTCCTTCCCCGTGCCCAGAAACCCGCGCTTCGTCGCCGCCAGTTTCCTTCAGAGCGGGGAGGATCCTCCTCCCCGTGGCGACATTCCCGAGTGGCTGCCGGCGCTACCGGACCCCCACACGTACATCGCCACGCCGGTGTGGGAGGCTCGGGGGCAGGATAAGCGGCAGGATCGGGTGGAGGAGGGGCGAGAGCGGCGGCGCGCTGAGCAGTCACTCGTGTCGCTGCACCAGCGCATGGGGATGGTCACGGCGGGCGGCGCGCAGGCGCGCGGTGGTGCTGGCGGCGGGCGGCTGCTGTGGGGCGGATGGTCTCACGTTGGCGCGGGGGACGACCTCCTCGCAAGGCCAGGCGCGGGGATCTCCGCGCCCGTGGCCACTGGTGCGGCGCCCGCAGTGCGCAACGACGAGGGCGCGGAGCGGGGCGAGGGGCGGAAGAAGCGGAGGAGGGAGTCAGACGGCGGGTGGGTAGCGGGTCAGGTTCCTTCCGCGCTGGATGCCTTCCCGGGACTGATGATGGCCGCGGGCAGGGCGCGGGGCGGGGGAGCAGCAGGTGAGGGGGGTGAGGAAAGCGAGGAGGAGGATGAGTTAGAGGAAATAGAGGAAAGGAATGGGGACGCGATGGCTGTGGATGGTGATATTGTGGTGGTGGAGGGCGGAGAGGAGAGGAATGGTGGTGGTGGCAGTGGGGCCGAGGGAATCCAGGCAGAGGGGAATAAGGGCGAGAGGGTGAAGGAGGTTGGTTGGAGTGGGTGGTCGGCAATGGAGAGGGCTTCAGGGGCGAGTGCTCCGGGGGTGTCGTTTCACCTAGGCAGCAAGATTCAAGGCCAAGCTTGGAGCTGCCAGAATGCAGTTGCCTGTTGTGCTGAGGCAGGCAAAACCAAAGGCCGGGCAAGGTGGGAGTGATGGCATTGGGAAAGGCGAGGAGGACAAGGAGAGGAAGGGGAAGGAGAAGAGGGAAAAGGGGAAAGACGATGAGAGGGATGAGAAAAGAAAGAGGGCAGAACAGATACTGGAGCAAGCAGAGAGGGAGGCAGCAGAGGCAGGCATGGGAGATTGCAGATAGGAGTTAAGATTGTCATATTTTGTCAGTCTCTAATGAGGTTTGTTTGATGCGATTGTGGAAATAATGCATGTCGATATTTTTTTTTCGAATTTGTAAGAGTGATGTTATCATTGCCTTGCTTTGTCACGATGCGTGTAGAGATGTAGCATTATCAGTCCCAAAGCCGCCTACCCGCGTTTTCTTCACGTCTTGTCACGTCTGTGCAAGAAGTGTATGGTGCCCGTTGTGTCAGCGGGAATGGTGATGTGACAGGGTGCTCTCAAAGGCTCGATCCAAAAAGTGCTGACGCTGGCGAGGGAAGCCCGTCGTTTCGAGGAAGGCTACGGAAGTGTTATGTGCTTTCGAGGAACACCGTATCGTCGAATAGCGACAGAGTTGCTGACGCCAATCCCCTGCTCTAGGGCTACGACATCGTCTCCCACATCTCCGCTTTGTGAGGAAACGAGAGGCTTGCACGTCATGGCGTGTGATTGGTGCACACGAGTCACAACACAAGGCATCCTGCGTGCGCAAGCAGATTCTCTGCCATACGCAACCTCCCTTTTCCCCACCCCAACCCAAACCGCCTGTCATCAGCGAAAGAATGTGTTTTTCGTCCAATCATCGCTGGTCAGAGAGCCCTTTCGCGGAGACCGCGCAACCCCATTCTCCCTTTCGCAAATGACGCAAGCATGCCAATCAACGCACCGCACGACAGTTTCTTCTCTGCTTCCTCTCGACCCAACTCGCCGTGCGCTCTGCAACCAGACACGTGGTAGGGCGGGATGGATGAGACGAGAGTGATCGGTGGTGTCCGTTTGGCGTCCGACGCCAGCGGTGCTCAAAAGCGATCTAGACAGCAGCCATAGCGTCACTCAATTGCACTCGCACTCTCACTGTCAGACCATCACATTTGCAAGCTCCAGCCAGATTAAATTTCTCGGTCGTCGCTTCCATAGTTAGATCGTTGCACTTTAAACGACGATCGCGCATCTTCGGAGGTATTGTCCCTAGGTCGCCATTGTTCAGGGATATTTGTTGTACGAGTAACCTAATTCGACTGAATATGGGCGCCTGCGCTTCTACGGGTGGCCGCAGTCCAATCACGCCTTCTCCTGCCACCACCAAGCAGCATCGCAAGGCGGATCGCTCACAAACGAAGGCTAGCAAAAACGCGAAGCAGAATGCCTCGAATCGCCAATCAGTGTTAGGCCTGCCACCGTCAAATACACGACTCGAGAGCAATTATTTGATAGGTAAGCTGCTGCCTCGACACCATGTTTCAGCGCTTTGCGTCAGCGCCATGCATTGGAACCTTCTGTGTAGTGATTCATTGCGATCAGCTCGTCGCTAACCTGTTCCCTCGTCGTCGTCGTCCTGTGTGGCGCCCAATTTGCAAACCTCCAGGTCGCGAGATCGGCCGCGGATTGTACGGCGTGGTTCGCGTGGTGATGCACAGGAAGTCGCACGAGCGATACGCGTGCAAGACGGTCGACAAGCGTCGCATGTCGCAGGATCAGCTCGCACGACTCCGCACGGAGTTCGACATTCTCAAGCGCGTATCAACCCACCAATCCGTAGCGGCCCTTGTCGACCAATACGAGGACTCCACGTGCGTGCATTTCGTCCTGGAGCTCTGCACTGGAGGGACGCTGTACGATATCCTCACGACGGCCTCTATCGCGGATGATGCCTCCGCTGTAGATCACTCTGAGAGCAGCACCAGTCCTGCCGCTGCCACAACCAGCACACGCAGCAGCAGCGGAAGCACCGCCAGCCGCAGCAGTAGCAACGCAAGTGGGAGCGCATTGTCGAAGCGGATGAGCGAGGCGCAGGCGAAGCAGGTGATGCGGCAGCTCGCAGAGGCGGTGGCGCGGCTGCACGCGGAGGGCGTGGTGCACCGCGACCTGAAGCTCGAGAACATCGCTTTCATGGATGCGCGGGACGCCAGGGAGGGCGCGTCGCACCCTGACGGCAGCACACACCATGGCTCGACCAGCAGCCGCAGCACAAGCACAAGCCGCCATTTCCCCAGCATAGGCAGCGCCAGCAGCTTGGTCTCTGATTTGAGTGGCAGTGAGGCCGACAGCGACTGCACGGGTTCCCTGGCGTCCCCCTCTGCGCCCTGCTCCCCCGCCTTCTCCGCGCCCTGCCCTCCCCTCAAGCTCCTAGACTTTGGTCTGTCCACGTGGCACAAGTCAGCAGACGGGCAGCGGCTGACGGAAATTGCGGGGACGGCGTATTATGTGGCGCCAGAGGTGCTGAGGAAGCAGTACGGCAGCGAGTGTGACGTGTGGAGCATGGGGGTCGTTCTTTACATGATGCTTACTGGATCTCCACCCTTCTGGGATGGTAAGTTTCCATCATGATTTTTGCCCTCATGGAGTCATGGACTTCAGTTCCCTGTGCTCGTCACATCACTCAGTTTTCGCTGCTATTTTACTAAAAAAATGGGTTCCCGTCTTATTCCCAATGTTTGCAGTTTCGGAAGAGGCAATCTGCTCTGCCGTCTTGGCAGGCCACTATGACATGGTCAGTGCACCATGGCCGTCCATCTCACCTGCTGCCAAGGACCTCGTCAGGCGCATGCTGCAGACTGACCCGGTCAAGCGAATCACAGCAATTGAAATCCTAGGTAAGGGCTCTCCTCCCAGTGGGGACATGATTTCGCTGACATGGGAACGCACTAACTATTCTGGTGGCACTTTCGCTAATGTCAAACTCTGTTTTCATTTGCAGAGCATGAGTGGATCTCCTTCTAGAGCTCCAGCAATTTCCTGGTTTACAATGTGTGCAGGGGAGCTTTGGGCAAAGACACCTTTATCTCCTTAGAACAGGGCTTAGGATTATAATTCATTCATTCAACTGTACAGCCACCATGGAGTGGAGATTGCTAGTGTTAGTGTTTAGTTGGAGCCATGACAGCACGCAAGAACATGCATTACTCAGTTTTGTACACATGGAATTTCATATGAAGTCTTTCACCATCTACCTCATGTACTTCACATGATAGTGCATAACTGAGGCTTGGAACTCTTTATCTTGATGATTACGCACCCTCCATTTCTCGGATCTTCCATACATTCTAGCTTTTCCTTCTCCGCCCACTCCATCACCCTCGGCTTTATTCTGGCCGCTCCTCCTTTCGAATGTAGGCCACGCCCAGTTATGACCGTTAATCTCTCTCCGTCCTTTGCTCTCGCTTCGGCAACGCGGCGTGCGACCTGCTCCAACGCCTCCTCGACCAACAGGCCGTGCACGTCTACCGTGTCATAGCCTCGTCCCTCATTGTTACCTTCGAAGTTTAGCTTGCTCGCTTCCCGATGCGCTTTGTCGGCGAGTTCTTTACACCGCTTTCGTTCCTCGCTCAGCTCCTTAGCGCGTGCGCCTTCTCGTCGCTGGTAAGCGGCTTGCGATTCCGCAGCTAGGTCCCTCGCACGTTGCGCGTGGGCCCATGCCTCTTCTCTTAGGCGGTTCCCGCGATCTAGTGCTGACTCAGGAGGCTGTGTGGAGAATAGGTTACCCATTTACACAGCGAAGGACGAAATTACGGAAATTGAACAACGCGGTCGATTTGGTCGAAGCGTCTACTAAAGCAAAATAGGAAGTTTGTGGTTCATCGCAGCAGCCAAAGCACGAGAACGCTTGTGGAAAGGTCGCTGCCACGGGAAAATTGCCCAGATTATAATGAAATAATATTTACGGAAAATCGCTTTTCACCCATCCGAACAGCTGGAATACTCTTCCCCCTCCCCCAAAGCAGCCTTTTCGAACTTGATGGTGTGGCAAGCGAAAGAGTCAGTGGCCATCTTGTGCTGTCATTGGTGGCGACGGCAACGTGTCGAATGCACGAGCAGGAATGTTCCTATGTCGTGATTACTTTTTTTTTAAATAGAAGGCATTTCACTATATCAAGGGATACAGCAAAAGGGGCCACAGTCCTAACTGTTGAGAAGAGGGGGGCAATTACATAAAAATGAGAGAGCCGCCTCTCAGATGCATCTACGGCGGTTTGTACCTGGCCCTCCGGGCCGTCCAGATCGACAGAAAATCCTCTCTCCACGTCAGACTGCTGGCCGCCCTCGTGCTGGCAGTTTCCAGCGCTGCAGCTTCATCACTGGCCAGATGCTGTTTGGCCACGTGCCTCCTTTTGATCCACGCCTCTGAAAACCGCGTTACAGCGCTCCACCCAGATCTGATGGAATGTGATAGCCGATACCGTCAGTTCCGGAAAACCGGAAGCAGTCCCCCCGCGCTGGAATAGCAGGTCACCAAGTGACCTCGCCCTCCGCGCTGGGTTGAACCAACGAATCGCATCCTTGAGAGCCCCCACCACCGGCTGAATAACCCGGCAGGAGAACAATGCATGGTCCACCGACTCTGCCTCCCCGCAGTGCGGGCATTTCGCCCGCTCCCCCAAGAACTTCAAGCGATCCCCCACCTGCAGGTTGAAACAGTGGGCTCGCAGCAGGACATCCCGCGCCTTTGCGGGGACCACATGAGAGTCTCTGCGCGCAATCGCCCGCTTCCAATCAATTTTCTTCCCCCACAGTTGCTCCCACTCTGCACGACGAGGCAGCTTGACCGGCTGCTTGCGCCTCACCCCCAGTCCTACTCTCAGCTGCTTCACTGAGGCCGCTAGCTTACCCACACAGAGCTCCGATTTCAGTAGCCTGCTGCGCGGCTCGCCCAGCTCCCCAACCACCTCGCCCCCCATCACCGCCATCGGCGTGACTTCTGACACGGACAGCGTCTTAACCCTCGCTCCCTCAGGTACGAACCACGACTTCCCGTCCTCATGCAGGCACATCTTCACACAATAGAGCAGACTGCCGAGGGCCCTTTGGACCTGCCACATCTTTATCCCTCTCGTCGTCGTTCTCACCACCGCTGTGGCTTCTGCCAATTCCTCCGACGTGAGCGGCTTCAAGACCCGCGCCTTCCAGTCGTCACTTAGCGCCTCCTTGACCGCCATGGCTATTTCTGCTGCCTGCTTGCTGCCCAAGTCACGGGCCAGACGGTCTGATGATTTCCAGCTTCTGGTGCCATCTGCCCACTTCATGAGCAGGTCCCCCACCATTATCTCGTCGAGGCACTCGTCCCCCTTGCGTCGTCCAAAGGGGTAGCTGCCGTCACGCAGGATGTGCCTGTTGAAGAGCACCCGCTCCTTCTCGATATCCCATCTGCTCCCTACCGCCAGGTTCATGACAACCGGCGACTTCATCGCCGCCGCTGTGATTGCCTTCCACCGTTCACTCCCTGTACCCCACGCTTTCAGCAGCGCCTCATGCGCGAGGAGGGAGGCATAACCCAGCGGGAAGTCCGCCGCACGCTCTGCCAACAACCGTCGCTGCGGCATTTCCTCCGTGAGCAGCTGCGCCAGCGAGTGCAGCGCCTCAGCATCCAGCCGGTCCTTCAGGTTTAACACCCCGAGTCCCCCTTCTTCCCTTCCGAGTTGCATGAGATCCCCATTCCAGAGAATGAAGCCCGGCTCCGAGTTCGCACGTCCCCCGGAGACAAAGGCGTGGCACAACCTCCTCAGCTCCTCCCAAATCGTGTCAGGCGGGGGGTAAATCTGCGCCTGGAACAACGCGATGGGTATGACATACGCGTTGACCACCGTTACCCGCGCCGTAGTGGTAAGAAACTTCGCCTCCCATTTCTTCAGCTCTGCTTCCATTCTGCTTAAAGCTCTCTTCCATGACGGTTTTGCGTCTCCTCCCGGCGTGATCCAGACCCCCAGCAGACGCTCCGGTTCATCGCGCGACGCCCATTTGAAGGCCCCATCCGCAGGCGGTGGAATATTGCGTTGCCTCCCCAGCGGCAGCACCACCGACTTGTCCCAGTTGACTGCCAGCCCCGACATCTTTTCAAACTCCTTCAGCAGCAGCTCCGCGTCTCCCAGCTGCGAACGGCCATTCAGCAGCAAGGTAGTGTCATCGGCGTACCCCAGGTAAGTCAGTCTTCCTGCGTCCTTAACGTTGATTCCTAACCACCTCCTCCTCGCCTCCTGGCAGAAGGGCTCGACCGCGCACAGGAACAAGTACGGCGCGAGGGGACAACCCTGCCTCACCCCGGTCAAGACTGGGACCTCCTCTCCCAGCCAGCCATCGTTGCAGATACGGGTCGCTGCGCCCTGATGCAGCCCCTCCACCCACTTCACGTAAGTCTCTGGGAAGCCCATCTTCCGCAGCACGTCAAACAAGTACCCACGCGTTACCGAGTCAAAAGCCTTGCGGAAGTCAACCAGGAGCATGAGCCAATCCTCCTGCCCTGCGTTCGCAGTGTCAATCACGTCTGCCGCAACCGCCACCGCGCCAGCGATGCTTCTTCCGGGTAAGAAACCGAACTGCCCCGTTGACACCACGCTCTCCAGCTTGTTTTTTATCCGGTTCGCCAACGCCTTTGCAATCAGCTTGTACACCGTGCTTAGCAGCGTAATCGGGCGGTAGTCCTGCAAGTCCTCCTTGGCACCCTTCTTATGCAGGAGCACAGTCACCGCGGTTGAGAATTCCTTGGGAGTACCCCCGTCTGTTCAAAGTCCTTCAGAAACTGCATCATCTGTCCCCCCAGCAGGTCCCACTGCGACTCCCAGAGCTCCTTCGGGAGACCATCACGCCCTGGCGTCTTGCCCGGCGCCATCTCCGCCAGCGCACGTTTGACCTCCGCTTCTTCCCAGGGCGCACTGAGCGCCGCCACGTCCTCCAGGGAGAGGCGCTTGTCCACCGACCAATCCAACTGTGTGTCCGCACCCGCTGCGAACAACTTGGTGTAGAAGTCCGACGCGGCAGCCAGCGCCTCCTTCGCCCCCTCATACCGGGACCCCTGGTACAGAACATCTACCAGGCGTGTCTTAGCCTTCCTCGCCTTCACTCTGGACGAGAGGAAACCTGTGGGGGCTTCCCCATTCATCTCCACCTTAATCCCTGCTTACTCCTGTAGCTTACGGCGCCTCCCCTCCACATAGGCCTTAAGCTTTGCTTCACATCTTGCCAGGCGCGCCTTCGCCCGCGAGCAGCGAGGCTTGCGCATCACCTGCTGCCTCAGCTCCCCGACCTCCCGTTCAAGGTGCGCCGTCGTAGCCGCTACCCGCTTCCGCTCTTCCACAGTGTAGGCCTTGAGGCCCACCGTCAGAGACGCCATCAGCGCCTCCAGATCCCCTCCTCTTTCTGCGTTTCTCCTAACAATCTGCTCCACCCGCCGCTGCACCCCAGGGCGCGGCACCTGCGACGCCGGAAGCCTCCAGAGCCCCGGGCCTGACTCCCCGTCTCCCCCCGCACTGAGCTGCAGGTGGACCGCGGACCAGTGGTCCGTGAACTTCTTGGTCAACCCCACATGCCGCACATCATGGATTTGATGAATCAGCGCATTCGAGAGGAGGATCCGGTCAATCCTTGTACTCTCCTGCACCGACGCTGCGTAAAAGGTGTACTCTCGCAGACATGGATGGAGCGCCCTGAAGGCATCTCGGACATCAAAGCTGCTGCAGATGGTCATTAACCTGTCATTTTCCCCCCTTGAGCCCAGCCCTGATGTCTTGTCCAGTGCTGGATCTTCAATGATGTTCAGATCTCCTGCCAGCAGCAGATGGCTCCCCGCCGGTATCGCCGCCAGGAACGGCTTAAGCACATCGCGGAAGAAAGGAGACCGTGCTGTTGGGCTCGCCGGGAAGTAAGCCGCGACAACCGTCACCGTCACACCGCGCCATGCCATGGTTACCCGCGCCAGACGCCCTGAGGCATCCCTGACCACGTCCGAGCACGATACTTCATTATTGCGTAAGACTATCGCCACCCCCCCAGCTCTTGCTGTAGGCGTCGCCGCTACTACTGTATCTGCTTGAAGCCGATTCCAGAAAGAGTGATTTTCCGCAATCCGTGTGTCCGCTAGTATGGCTACATGTGCTGCGTCTCTTATCCAGTCCTGAGCGTCTTGCTGTTTCTGCGGACAGCCGAGACCGTTGACATTCAGGACACTGAAGGTGAGGGTGGAGTGTTTACCCATTTGGAACCTGCGTTAGGCCCCTAAGCATCCACGGGCCGGAGGTGAGGGTGTTACTGGAAGCCTTCGTTACTGCACTTATACTCCAGACAGGAACAGGTACAACGGCACTGATAGATCTCCTACTCCATGGTATCGGTACACTTCTCAGCACACTGCACGCCTGACTCACTTCCCCTTCGCCTTTTCCGCACGAATTCCGTACAGCTTTTTCGCTGCCTGCAGGCTCAGCTTCGCCTTGGACGCACGGGTCGCAACACCCGCCGACCCCAACGCCGCACCATGGCTGAAGGAACCGATGTGAGCCGCTGCCTGGGCAAAGGTATCCCCATGCGCACGCTCGCAACACTCCTGAACACAGAGCCACTCCTCCACGTTGGCTCCCGTTGAGATAAGGACTAGCGCCGGGTCCCGGAGGATCTTCCTCACCACCCCTGCCGACTGGAGGGAGGCCGCTGCAGGAGACACCCATCACAACGCCATCAGTAAGCAAAACAGGAAAGCTGATGCACAGGCGAGAACCCCGAGGTAAGCCCCCCCCTGTTACCGTTGATCGTGTGAATCCTGCCTAAAGACAAGTTCCATTTGCCGATGTTGTTACGACGCTCATGCACATACTCATCATGCAGCTTATCCATGTGCGGTCCCTGGCAAAAGCAGCAGGACAGCGACGGATAATGCACGAGGTACGTCACATCAGTGAGCGGGTCTTCCACCACGTGACGCCAGCGATATTTGTCCCCGGGGTGCGGAACGACCAGGCCACGAATCTTATCAGTATCCAACCCTGAGACCGGGTCAACCACGCGGTGAAACCCCGCTCCCTGCAGGAACGCCGAACGGCCGCGCTTCTGCAGCGACGCGACCACCAGCGACTCGTAGACAATGAGCGGTGTGATTTCCGTCGGTATCCCCTTAAGCAAAACTTCCACCCCCTCCGGCAGATCGCTCTTCACCTTCATGAAAGCGCGGTTGACCGGGTGCAGCCAACCGAAATGATGCTTCGTGGTTCCGACGACGTGCTCCACCCAGTGCTGACGCACCACCTCCGCATCAGCAGCCGTGGCGAGCGTGACTTGAAGGCGACAGAAGTGAATGTGCGATAGGTACGTCGGTAGTAGCTCCTGAAATGCGAGACCATCCAAAGCGTTATCTGACAACTTCTTCCGCAAGTAGACCAGTAGAGCCTTCACTGATGGCTTCACCGCAGGCATCTCCTTCTCCAGCTCGAACGGGATCAGTAGCGTCAGCGTGACGCGCGCCTTAGACGCTAGCACACCCTTGGCCTTCGCGTCGATGCCTTCATCAGAGTCGTCGCTTAAGTAATCGTCGTCATCATCCTCTTCATCATCCTCCCCTCCAGCAGGCGCGAGCTCAGCCGCAACAGCAGGCGAAGGCGCGACGGGATCAGGAACAGAAATCGCAGGAGTCTTCCCTGACAAAGGAGAGACCGGGCCCGCACCAGGAGTGGTAGAAGCCGGGAGGACCGCGTTCGCGTCAACACCAGCCGCCTGATCCCGCACCGGAGCGTTAGACCCCTCTGGAGACGCCATGTTAACCGCAGCCGCTGTAGCCCTGGTCGAAACTGGCATGCTGATGCTTGCAGGAGCTGAGGCGTGAAGATCGCTAGTGATCAGTCTCTGACTTGCTAGCAATATATAGGATTCCGGTTTCTTCCGTGACTTCCATTCCCAAGGTATTAACGGGGATTGAAGACCCCAGGGTGACTCTTGTTCCCGTGAATGCCTCGTATACGTGTCAGTTTCAGACGCCTGGAAACCATTGTCCGTAGATAAGGCTGCCTGAACTTCAATCTCGGAGTGACAGCACAGTGTTCTGCAGTTCCAAGGCGAGGTAAGACTCATTGATAATACCACAGGGCGACTTGACCAGCCAGAAAGCAGTGACCTGGCAGAACCTAGGGAAGACCTGGACCATTTGCCTGGAACTCGATAAGCGTGAAGGATACCCGCTGGGTGGGTACAATTTGTATGTTCGCCTAAAGAGTAACTCAAGCTGCATCTAATGGTGTAGTCCATGTCGAGAATAGGAGCTGTTAGCCTAGACATTGTCTGCTTCGAAGCGCGTGGCAAGATCCATGGCGGAGAGCTGATGGAGATGACAAAAGTGTTCGAGCGATGTCGCTCCTATGTCGTGATTACCCTGTTATCGTCGTCATTTCCTCGTGCGCTTGTGATCGGTGCTTATTGGCGAAACTCATTGGTCGTCACGTGAAGCGACGGGTAACCCTTCTCCGTTGAAGTCCATGCTTTGCTGAGATTCCACCATCTTCAAAATCGTGGGGTGTGAGAATTTGAAAACCCACGAACGTCCCTCGAAAACAGTGGCTTTCTGTTCACGAGCCTTCATTGAACGGACAGCGTCGAAAGCGGACAAAACCAGGCCGCGTTGTCCCGTCAACCTGAGCTTTTGCAGCCTTGACAAGCCAACCCCCAGAGAACAGCGAAACGACGCTTGACACCGTGCCTAACCGCAAAGCCTGAAGCCCAAACCTTTTCCCCTTTCCCGAGCTTCATATAGTGGCTCAACAAAGCGGCGGGTCTACTCCGGGAACACCGCTAGACCGAACGTACAGCCATACCGAGGTTGTCTTGGTGCCTTCGCCAATGGCAAGACTGCCAAACCAGAACCACACAACTTTGCTACGCAGTCAAGGGCACACGGCGAACCCGAAGGCCCCGATTGTGGTTTTCTTGAGATGATCGTCCAGGCCAGGCACGACGACGCTCTCTGCGGCGCGGTGACCTGCGGCCCGTGGTCGCCGAATTTGCTTGAAAGGTGACACACCCACCTCCTCCACCCAGCTTTCATTCCATCCTCCCCCACACTTTCCTCGCCTCCCCGCTGTAAAGCCCAACCATTCGTCCTGCCCACCCAACCCACCACCAGCACCGCATACTTTTCAGTTCAGCTCACAAGCTGCTTCTTCCATCCCCATGGACCGCAATACGCGGCATCCCGACAAGGAGCATTATCAGCTGCTCTTCAGCAATTGACTTTCAGTCTGATGAATTCTATTGATGTTTCCACCAGCCACTGCCAGTTGCTTCAAGCACAGCGTTGAAAGTTTCTGAACTTACGCGAATGAGGCAGGACTCTAGCTCACAAATCTCAACTTCTCCACCCTGAACCCCTCATGGGTTACCTAGACTCCATTCTTAGCTCAGACACAGACACAACGATGGAAACTGCTGACATCGGTAGTGGACGATCTAGCTGGTCTCGCGGGCCGTTGCTCGGGCGAGGCTCGTTCGGACGAGTGAACATCGGATTCGACAGCGCCAGCGGACAGCTAATCGCAGTCAAATCCGTTCGTGTTACCAGCGACAACTCTCACGAGCTCCACGCGTTGGAGAACGAATACGAGATTCTGCAGCGGCTTGATTCTCCCAGTGTCATCAAATGCTTTGGAGCTGATTGGTCCATGGAGGACGGTGTTCCCACGAGAAACCTCCTCTTAGCGCTGGCATCTGGGGGCAATCTCGCAGAACTGGCTTCTTCAACGGACTCCGGAAGCGGCTTATGCGAAGCTGATGTTGCTCGTCACGTCAGGGGTGTCGTCGAGGGTTTGAGCTACATCCACCAGGAAAGCGTGGTTCATTGCGACCTGAAAGCTTGCAACGTCGTCCTGGGTGACTCATGCGTGGTTCTCGTCGACTTCGGCCTCTCTTTACAAAGACGAGAACCAACTGATTGTCAGGAAGCTGATAGCAGTCATGAGGTGGTTCGGAAGCAAAAGCTCCGAGGGACGCCGTGCTGGATGGCTCCTGAAGTCGTAGTAGGTGGAGAGATTGGTCCGGCGTGTGATGTGTGGTCGCTCGGATGCACGGTGATAGAGTTACTCACTGGGAAGCCGCCATGGTCGTCCCAATGCGCCGACCCAATGTCCGTGCTGTACAAGCTTGGATGCACCAGCGAGCTCCCCGAGATTCCGGAAGATGTGTCTCCATTTTGTTACAATTTCATTAGTAAATGCCTCTGCCGGGACCCGCAACGGAGACCGACAGCAGCTGAGCTACTTACGCATCCTTTTCTCTGTCTTCGGGATGAAGTCCGTGAATTGCACAGGTCCCAATCCCAGCTCGCGTCATTTCCACCGGTCACAGAAGCCACCAGCGAAGGCAGTCTACACGTGGTCATGCCATCGTCACCCATGGCGGTTGATTCTGACGAAGACCTGAATCTGAACCTCACGTGCTGCAAAATGGTGGACGACCTGTGCGCTCTCTTCCCGCCAACTCCCTCTCCCCGGCTCGTCTCTCCCCTCCACGTGGTTGCACAGGAATGGGGTTCTCACAGTCGGCCATCACAGCAGCCGACTCCCTCCATTGCAACGCATATACCTTATGGCTCCAAGGATGATAGGTTGCAGAGCAATTGCCTTCTGAGGAAGCCATTCATCAGCGTTCCTGCAGAGGACGGTTCCTCGCTGGACAGGAATACCAGGTCGGTTGGAGCTAGGGGCAATGCATGGGGGGGTGCTCCTTCTCCTGCTTCAGAACATGGCTGCGTGCAACCAGAATTATCTCCACCGGAATTGGATCCAATTTCACCAGATGTACAGGAAGCAAGCGCATGGCAGGTTTGGGATGGAGAACGGCGGCACGAGTGTCTTGACTGCTGATTGTCATCATGCTGATGACTGGATTTCATACAACACCACTATACTCTTAACTAATGCGCCATACTACTTCTAGGTGTATATGAAGTTTGAAGCAGGTAATGATTATTTACTCTAACATTGCTGCACAGATGTTTGGGCAATACCCAGGCTCATGCAACTGCTAGACTCACATCCCTCTGACCTCCCACCGTATGTGTGATAGTCAAAGACTGGTCTACATCCATGTCACATTCAACTCCATCATCTCTAAGCCTCTGTCTCTCATCTTCACTCAATCACTGTGTCACGACCACTTAAAAATCAACTAGCAGAGGCATTTCAGAGATTTTAATAATCAATATACATTTTTGCACGACTACTTAGTACATTCATGAAGCACGTGGACGAATGCAGCAATGCCATTCATTCTGCCAGCTTTGCATGGGCAAGCGTGGCAGAATGAATGGCATTGCCCCATCAGCTAGAATGTATTCATTATTAAAGCCCGAGTCTAGAATGGCAACTTTTCAAGTTCAAGATTCTTGAACTTGAATTCGCCTCCCCTCCCGTCGCCTTTTAGGTGGCTCTCCCTTCCCGCGTCCGTCGCCCACGCTTACTCTGAGTGTCTCCCACGCTCTCCCATCATGTCGCTGGCCTTCACATGACCATCGCTTGCCCATTCCGTCGCTTTCCCAACACCTTTCAAGTTCAGTATTCTTGAAGCCTTACCATTCTAGACTCGGGCTTTAACGCGTCGGTCTCCCACCCTCGTCCTTCCCGTGATGGAAGCAGCTCAGCCCAGCGGTCAGGCGGATAGTAGACTTCTATGCAAGGTGGGCATTGATACGACGCGGGCCGATCTTGACCGTTCATACTCCGACGGGAACGCGGAAACCATTGCACGGGACGAGCGCGATTCAACGTGAGCGGAGTTTCTGCAGCGAGCGGAACCTGGAGTTCCCCTGCGGATGCGGCTGACGGCTCGGAGCGAGCGGCTCACACTTTCCCCGCTGCTACCGCCGCTGCTAGTCCTTTTGCCCAGCCTCCGACATCTGTCCCCATGCGATCTACTCTCCGAGCCGTCGCTGCTGTTGCGATTGCTAGAATCGGCCACGCGTCGCTTACTTCGCACACTGCCCTGGTCATCGCAAGCAAGGCTTCTCTTGCGACCACTCTCTGAGCCCTGCGACGAGAGCCCGTGAATGCTGCGCCAGGAACAGGACCACGTCGCGAGCTCGTTTCGCTCCGCCGCTTCCCAGATATTGTCCCCAGGCTGCCCGCTATCATCTGAAGCTGGTTCAACTGGGTCAGGGTTTGAGCGAGTGGATCGCGTGAATGGTCTCAAAACTCGATTTCTGACGAACCGATTTATCTTGGAGGCTGCTGCGGTGAGCCATCCGCTAGGGACGCAGCGAGATGTGGCAGCGTGCAGACAAACTGGAGGTAAAAGTCCGTCTGAAGAGTCTGCTAATGAGGTGTCACGAGGGACCCCCCTATATGCTAAAGGGAAACATGCCCTGAGATCACGTCGGGCTTTCATTCTATACGACTGTTAGCGCTACTATGTTGGAAATGCAAGGTTTCGAATTAGTAGGATGATGGTGTAAAGAGGAATTGCAAGAAGTTGAGACACGAAATGGCATTCCAAGTGAAATATCACGCTCGTAGACATATGCCCCCTCAAATCCCTTCCCGAACAGCACCGAACAGTCTTTTCGTTGTGTTCATCGTGACTCGCGGACAGCGAAGTGAAGCGGGCTGGCAGGAAGGCGGGGCCACACACGGGGAAGAATGGCGCGGGAATTCGAGTAAAAACTGGTGGGGAGGGGGGAATACAGTAGGGAAGGGGAGGGAGGGGACTTGTGGAGTTGGATTTTCCGCGTTGAAGCGCACGAGCGGGCGAGACGCGCACCGCCAGGATATCGCGTC